ATATATATATATATTAGTAAATCTTTTAGCTATCACAACTAAATAACTTTGTTATGAAAGCAAAAAAATTTGCTCCTACAGCTAATATTTTTAGTTGTCTATATATTAGCAAATATTTTTTTTCCGTGTACGAATATTTAAACTTCCAATATAAAAAACATATGCACACATATTGAATACGTGCATATTGAATACTGTGGCGAAAGTTTAAGTATTCATATTTAAAGATTAAAACAATAAGAATGTTTAGAAAAAAATATTTGAAAATTTATTCGTGGGGTATAAAGTTTATCCACAAATAAACTTTCCACAAATAAATTTTTAAGTATTTTTTTTCTCAGTGCACGTAACCGAGAATTGGTATTTTTATTTTTAATTTCGCTACATTGAAAAAGAATACTTGAAAATATGTGGGATACAAAATTAATTTCTATGAAATAAAGTTGATTTCTGTAAATAAACTTTGTATTCCACGAAGAAATTTTCAACTATCTTCCTCAGTGTAGAAATTTTTAATAGCATATTTCAGTTTCTAAAATATACAAATAACATGAAATGAAAGGATAACCAATTACTGCAAAATATCGTTCTATTTCTCGGTTACAAAATTTTACAATAATTTTTACTGCGCACTGAAAAAAAATACTTGAAAATCAATGTGTGGTATATAAAGTTAATCTCTGTGAAACAAGTCTGATTTCTGTGAAAATAAACTTTATATCCCACAAATTAATGTTCAAGTATTTTTTTCTCAGTATACAATTCTCTCCGTGTATTGACGTTAATCGAAACTCGACGGATCTTTTCGGTCTCTGTCTGGCTCAGCTCCTAGGATCGAGCGATTGTCAAATGCAGTTAGTTTTAACGTTCATTAAACTGCTCGCGACTGGAGATTCTCTTGACTAAACTTGCAATTGAAGATTCTTCGATAAATTGAGCGAGAAGATTCTTTAACCGCAGATCAGTGCGTTGGAACATGTCACGTTGGCCAGGCATTGATTCGAGTGTCTTTATGACGGTGGCTCAAAGCATCGCGATTAGACGCGTGTGCACGTACATGCGTTCATTCTACGGGAAATGCCGAGTCCAAGCGACTCGGTTGATTCCAGAGTGTACTGGCACACGCTCTGGTCGGAATGATTTACGCTTGAAAGTGGCACACGCCTGTGATTAAGATCGAACCGAGTCGAAGCGCGTCGTGATGACACAATACCCGTCACGGATAATAAAACGTTAATTTGGCGTGATTACATTGCCGCCGGTGAACATCGACGTCTGCAGAGTAGCCGGCGCAGTCTGGAGCTTCGTCTTATCGAAATTGTCGCTTAGCTGCTTCACAGCCGAGCTAATCTGCGAATAACGACCGATGTCACGGCCGGTGATCTAATAATTATCTCACATCACAGCTGACTTGTCTGTTGGCACGCGTTATCGTATTGGTACTGATTGAACAACTTGTAAAGGATATTGAAGTGAATGAATGATGCTTGCCAAACTGTCATTCGTCACAATTCGCGTTTACATTAATTTCGACACTCGACAGCTTTACGAGCGAGCCTGAGATGGAATATTTGACAGTGCTTAAATGTGTTTGGAGACCTCAAAGTAGATGCTCGAATCTTTTAATGGTTTTCTCATGATCTTTTGACTGACGACAGAAGAGTAGTCTAGAATTCTTAATTTACTTCTTATTAATCTTCATGTTTCAATCCTTTCCAACTCGTTCATTCTTCAATTTTTAATTCGTTTATTCGTTTATCTTATTTATATCTCAATAGATACGTAGCAGATTTATATTCTTGATTCTTTACACACACAATCACTTTTAAGCGAAAAATTACTCATACGTTGAACCTATCGTTGTACTTTTTAGTGACGAGTGGTCTAAAATCCTCTATTTACTTCTTTATCTTATAATTAACTTTATCTACGTTTTCACTATGATTTAATCCCTTTTCATTCGTTTACACTTCAAATTTTGGTTCGTTTACTCGTATATCTTCTATCTCAATCGATACGATTATTCTTAAGGTCGTTTCCAACTAAAAAGTTGCTCGTATGTTGAATCCATCGTCATATTTTTCGTTTATTTACTTGTAGCATTTGCGAAGGTGGCCTGATAAGGCTGATACGTGTTGTAAATTAGCGGGCTCGTGGTGCCATCGGTTAAAAATTTAGTAGAAAGAATTCCAGTGTCAGCTAACCCGACAGTATTTTTCCCAACAGTATTGGAAAAATTTTGGAGGCCCTTATGTAACGCGACATGCGCGTCACGTGCGCTTACGTGTTGTATAATGGAATTTTGTTCGACTCGGTTCTATCATCGATCTTGAAGACTGATGTTTGCGCTATATCCGCCGACGCTCGCGAATTAACACAGTGACACTCGCTACCGTGGTAAAGCGCGCGTCAGTATCGTTTGCTGTAAGGGTAGGTGTAGCAATACCGCCAACGATTTCAGCAAAGTGACAAAATCAACCGCATGGAGTGAGGCTGATCTAATGCACTTCTAACCGTGTGCACACGTGTGTGAATTTGTGTGTATATAGGTACATACATATATCTGTGTGTACACATGCGTATGCATGCTCGTGACATCGGACTTTTTGCTCAGTGCAATTCTGATCGAGGTAAACGAAGGGTGATTGCTGCGATCCTAGCGAAGACTCGACGGATTCTTCTCTTGAGACTGGAAGGTACGAAGACGTCGGTACACGCGCGCTCGCGGAAGTGTATTTTGGAAACTCCGTTTCGCGCTGAATACGCAGACTTACATTATTGGCAAATCGCGCTTAAATTATCAGTTTCACATTTAATCGACCGTTCTGGCTCGTTTCCGAAGTAAGATAGCCGAGAGCCCGGTGGTATCAGCTGAATCCTTCGTGAAGATATATTTTTAGGTAGAACATCGATCGAATTTTGACACTGCTGATTCGCGGTACGGACTAATCATTTTTTATCGCGTTGCGTCCTCGCGAATAGGGCAAAGGGCTCTCCCATTGTGAGTACGCCTTAATGTCATGGTATACTTAGTAGCATTAACCTCTCTCACGCGCGTCATAAATGCCAAGTTAACTTACGCGTGTTGGCTCGCGCAAATTTCGTCGATAATACGCGTTAGCGAAATGTCATCAACTGCCTTCCCATATGTGTAAGCTCTGCCGAGGGAAACGATGCGTGATACTCCCCGCTTCCGACGTTCCAACGTTCGATGTCGAATTAATTATGCGTTTTTTCGTATTAAACCGTCAAGTGTTGCGATGTCTGACGTCGGTGAATATCGGGACGAAACTGAGAGTGCGAAATAACGCAAGTGATGAGACATAATAACGAAAAATGAAACAGACGTCTCAAATAGGATGCAGAGGTACACGCAGAAACGTGTCGCGATTATAAACGTAAGGAGAGAAAAAGTTGGCGCGTTGAATGACGTCATCGCGTCTAATTGAATCATGTATAAAGTAAGGTAATAATACTAATGTCTGGATATATATACTGAGAACAAAAATACTTGAAAAATTTCGCACAAGTAAACCTTATATCTCCTACAAATAAATCTTCAAATGTTTATTCTCAAATTTTGGACATTTTTACTGTTTCGGTTTGTAAATATGAATATTTGAACTTTTAACATAGAATATACGTATTGAGTTAATTAATAATAAGTAATTTTGGATTATTCAGGTAAAATAAAACTATTTATATTTTTATGTTGTTATAATTTTATGGAACAATGTGTGCATTGTTTCGACCTGTGATCTTCTGCGATTCTTCACATATATTGTTATATAAAATGATGACAACACAAAAAATACAATTTTTAATTACACGTGAAACGTTCGAAATTACTTATTATACAACCTAATAGATATTCTATATATGTATACATATTCTATGTTGAAAGTTTAAATATTCCTATTTAAAAACCAAAGCAATAAGAATGCTCAGACTTAGACACATCTCCAGGCATTGGTACTTTTATCTCATCACCAATCTTTTCCTCTAAAAAAATTGATTGATGACCAATAGAAAGCCAACAAAACAGGGCAAAAGACATATGCATCTCGAGTCTTATTTAGTCACGTTTCTTTAGAGACTTAAACGTCAATTGAGCTTTATGCAATCAATGGGAATCGGCAGCACAGGAGTCAACGTGTTAACAATCGAAAATCGTGACAAGGGAAACCAACACAATAGAACGTTAACTCGCGCGTCGCAACAGAGCGACGAAAAGACGCCGGGAGAAATCCCGTCGACAGCACTTGCACAGTTTTGCACGACCAGTGTACAATTAACGCCGTTAGCTCTTCATCGTCCTGCTATTTCCGCCGCATGTGATCGCCTCTTATCGTTCGCGTCTGTCATTCACTGTCATCGGTCCAGATATATACCGAGAACGTTCTCCGTTTTTCCTGTCTCTCGCGAAAGGGAATGACGCGCGTTCCAATTGCAGTCGTTAAATGGGAACGTGATTGCGGATGATATTTTTACCCGTGATATTTTCACACGCACTCACGTTTCTACACGAATGGTGCAATATCGCTATTAAGGCCATTAATAGTTAACACTTAAAACTTGTGAGATATTCAAATTTTCCTTCCGAGTTTATTCAAATTTTCCAATTGAATTATAATATATAAGGTGTCTGACAATTGATGAAATATTCGTTGTATGCAAGTAGAACTCATCAAACTGAAGACAAAATTCCTCTACCATCTCGCAAACAATCACATAAAATTTTGAGTTATTAGTAAAGAAAATTAGTGGACGATCGTGCGCGATGTGGTAAATGAGCTGTGTGGTGGTTATTTATGAAATGTTGAAAGAATTTTGTTTAGTTGAATTTTGTTCAGAATTCAGTTTGATTTCTATTTGCACCCAACGAATGTATTATGAATCAAACATTCTGTATGTGAAATTTACATTTGCACTTACGATTCAACTGAAAAATTTTTATTTAATTCTGAATTTAAACTGAGTACTTGAGTATCTCACTTGAGATGAGTTCCAATACGCAACTATTAATATATGCCTAAGAGTCTCCATAGCAACAGTACTGCTCGAAGAAAAGGAGGACAGGCGGTTCCGTTGCTTCAATATTCGATACCAAATCTCGAGGGAGTCCCTTTTCAATTGCTTCACCCGAAGTTGATACCAAAAGAGTCAGTCTCGAGACGAGGAAGAGATGATGGAAGACCATATGAGGTCGCGAGACATCTTGTTTCTGGTCGTCTTTGCCGGTCGGAACTTTCGAGTAAATCGAGATCTCAAGAGGTGGAGATCACTAGCGAGTTTACTCGCGGATATCCGTGCTCGCTTGAGATTAATACTCGTGTGTGAGATTGCCTTGCCACGATGCGAAATCGATGCTCGCTCCCAGCTGCTTGTGCATCCTGATAACTCAAGAGCTCAGTTCCTATAACTCCCTGAGAGCTCAGCTGCACCATTTACGTTGGGTGCTTGGGTATAAGGTGTCACATAGATCTCGGATCCGTGAAATCCGAATATCTCTGGCGAGTAATACAACGGAAAAACTCCATAATGGGCTCAAACATATAAAAAAAATACTCTGATCATTTCTTTCTCATTTAGATACTCGACATTGCAGCAACCAGTTAGAATAAGATTTTTAATGTTGCGAAAAGATATTATTAGATATTATTAGATTAAACGAACAAAATGCACTGAGAGAAAAAATATCTACGAGATAATAAATATTTATTCAATGTAGGTACTAATATAATATACTTATATACTAATATATTAAATATTTTTCTAATAAAAATATATATTTTCTTAAAATCTTAGCTTTTCATGAAAACAATCGTTTATTGTTTATTCTATTTAAATAAAAGAATTTAGATTTAAGTAAATATATTATCAATATCCACCAAAGAAATATTTAATATTTTTTAGTTATCTTTTTTCTCACAGTGTATAGAAAATTATCGAATCTAACAGAAGATTTGAGCCAAATGCCCGACATCAATTTCCTGTCGTTCTTCTCTTTCCTTTTTTCTTTTTTGTGATTGCATTCTTTGTCTAACAGATTGCGATTGAATTATTTGTCTAACGAGTTTGCTCTAACTGTCTTTTAACAGCGAAAATTCTACGAGATTGCACCGTGTCTAACAATTTCTCTCGATTTTTCCCGCAGACATTGCATCGGACTGACTCCATGGTATCGCTGTCTTACCGATCGCTCGCGAGCTACATCACAGATGACAATCTCGCCGAACTGCAAAATTTCCTCGAGAACAAGCGAGTGCAGGTCGACGATAGAGATGAGGTAAGAACTTACGACCGCCCGAACGGTTTACGTTCTCCCAAAGAGACCTCTTTAATTATTCCCTTTTAATCAGAAATTCCTCGCATGAAATTGCTGCTGATCTTTCACGGGTATATCACTGGCATAATCGCGATTTGCAAAGTATTTGCCGGAGATATTACGTTGTGTAATAAGATTTTAATAATACAGACTTAAGGTCGAGTCGCGCGCTTATCTCGTTGCGTAAACTTTATATAAAATACGTACATACATCGGATATCTCTTTGTAAGATAAGTCTGCGAATATAAAAAGGTCATAAACTACACGAGGAATGATAAGTTTATCTATCAAACTTGTGTTCTACTCTATGTACTTGCCCTAACAAATTGTTTCGTTCGTGTTACGACAGAATGGTAGCACTGCCCTTATCCTTGCGGCAACCAAAGGGAAGATACACTTCGTCCGAGCGCTCATCAATCATGGAGCGGACGTCAATGCTGAAGATGGGGTTGGTACTTTGGCTCGCAAACACACCTGATCGCAAACGGAGTATGATCGAGATGCTGTAACGTGCGCGCGTAATTTTCTTGTTTCAGGATAACTGGACGGCGTTGCTGTGCGCAGCGAAGGAAGGTCACACGGAGATCTGTCTCGAATTGTTGGAGCATGGCGCCGATTTGGAGCATCATGATATGGTTAGAAGAAGTTGCGCATATTCCATTAGTCTGGCGCGATGCCATTGATATAAATTTGTAACCAGAACGCAATGAAATGCGACAAAAATTCTTACTGCGTCAAGCAACCCGCGAGTCATCGCTGCTTTGATTCCGCATGCGATTAAGAATCACTTTTGTCGATATACTACTTAAATTCTAACTTACATAATATAATAATTAATTATATATATATATATATATATATATATATATATATATATATATATATAATCAATTGTTATTAATTATATCGTTAATTATAATTCCCATTAGACTACAAACTCTCCTTTTTGCTGAGTGCGTTTTACAGCCGTTCTACTTTGAACGGCGAGAGTATTTACGTAACGAACGTGATGTGGGTTGCTTAGACGCATGAGTGCTCTTATGTAAAAGTGGAAACTTTTATTTATAAATAGAGTGTCACACGAAGAATTATGAATTGTTTTATTGCAGGGAGGGTGGACTGCACTCATGTGGGCGACATATAGGGGTCGGTCGGCGACGGTGACGTTGCTGTTAGCGCGAGGAGCTGACGTCAATGCGCACGGGAATTTTCATATTTCCTCATTATTATGGGCCGCTGGCAGGGGTTATACTGATATAGTGAAAGATCTCATTGCTCACGGGGCAAAGGTCAATGTCGGTGACAAGGTAATCGTCGGCGCATAGCAAATCGATGGCCAAGTCGCTCGCGTTCCTTCTCGTTGATACCTGGGCTCGTTATTTGTTTATTTTTATCTTTCTTTTCTAGTATGGCACCACAGCACTCGTGTGGGCCTCACGTAAGGGAAACGTAGACATCGTGGATACTTTACTCAAGGCTGGAGCTAATGTCGACACGGCCGGCATGGTAAGGCATACACACACACACACACACATACACACGACTTGGTTATTTGCATTAGTTATAAATTATCTTTCACGTGCAGAGCTCTATTTTCTCTCAACTTTAACAGCTTACTTTTATTTATCGATATCTGTATCAATTCCTTCTTCCTCTTACAGTATTCATGGACGGCCTTGCTCGTGGCTACCCTTGGCAACCATGTGGAAGTAGTTTTACTACTTTTGGAACACAGACCAAACGTGAATGCTCTAGACAAGGACGGCTGCACGGCACTGGCGATTGCCTGTCGAGAGGGTTACCACGAAATAGCGAATGCTTTGATAAATGCTGGCGCTTATGTAAATATCCAAGATCGGACTGGGGCTACAAATCTCATCCACGCTGTTAAAGGTGGCCATAGAGGTGTGGTGGAGTCTTTACTGAAGAAATATGCCGACGTCGACGTTGCCGGAAAGGTACGGTTCTAACTCGTTTGTCCTTTGCTCGCGTATCTTCCTCGAAGATTGACGTGGAAAAAGAAATGGGAAAAAAATGATGAAAGGAGAGCATCGTTTCTTTCGGCGATTTTTCGCAAGACGGTTCCCGAATATATCGTTCATACCATGAAATAACGACCAGTTGGATCTCTTGTCACTTAGATCCGATATTCCATGTGGAATACACTCCTTAAATAAATCGATAATAACGCTTCGAGTCGGTCGCATTTTCCATAAGAAACGAATCTCTCGGATCTGGCCGTACCGTGACTTCCACATCCCGACAGTTACCGGTTACAGGCGGTTACCGGTTCCGTATTTGCGAATTGATACCTTGGTACCCGTTGAGAGAGCCGCTTCGAGCTAGGTTCGTGCGTGATATCTCTCCCGCACCGGTCATCGAGTCGCTCCAGTTGTAACTAACTACCCCACCGTATATATTTTAGGATAAAAAAACCGCAACTTACCTAGCAGTAGAGAAAGGCCATATACAGATACTCAAATTATTACTAAACGCTAACCCAGACCTGGAGATTGCCACGATAGACGGCGACACGCCTTTACTGCGGGCGGTGAGGCTGCGTAACGCCGAAATGGTGCAATTGCTTTTAGACAAGAAAGCCAAGGTCTCGGCTACGGACAAGAAGGGCGACACTGTACTGCATATTGCGATGCGTGCCCAATCGAAAGCGATCGTCGAGATGCTACTGAGGAACCCAAAGAATAGCCAGTTATTGTACCGTCCGAACAGACAAGGCGAAACTCCTTACAGCATAGACTTCAATCACCCCAAGACGATACTTGGACAAATATTTGGCGCCCGTAAGTCGATTACATTTACACGTCGTTTTATTGTCTTGTGACGTATAAAGTGAAATATGTAAGCAATGTAATGCGCCTTTAACACGTCTCATGAGAAATTTTCACCAATCTTGCAGGCCGTTTGAACACTAATGAAGATAGTGAGAACATGCTTGGTTATGACTTGTACAGCAGTGCGTTAGCAGATATCCTTAGTGAACCGTCACTCTCGACTCCAATTACTGTCGGCCTTTACGCAAAATGGGGTTCTGGCAAGTCATTCTTGTTAAATAAACTCAGAGGTATCGACAAATAAATGTTTGCTAGTTCTGCGGGTTATTCCAGAAACATCACGTTCTCTGAAGGCTAACGGTTTCTCAGTGAATTTGCACATGTAACAAATTCTCTTTCAGATAAATTAAAAAAATGTTGACTGTATGTATCTTGTGTTAAATATGTATATCTTGATATCTCTTTAATTTGAATTAAAAATAATTTTATTCGAATTTTTAAAATAATTTTATTTTGAATTTCGAAAATTCCCGACCATCGCGAAAATTCTGGAATACCCATCTTTGTTCAAGTTGTACGATAATATTGATCATCGCATCTTTTGCAGAGGAAATGAAGAACTTCGCACAATGTCTTGATCCAGTGTTCCACTTTTCTTCCTTATTGTTTCTAATAATAATCCACATATCCTTACTGGTGACAGTCGCGATAGGTCTTGCCTTACAGTCATGGATTATCGGTATTTTGTGTGGGATATGCCTGATAATTATCGTTTATTTCTTCCTGATTCTCCTGTGGTATGTCAATAAGAGGTAAGATCGAAGATCATTCGCATACGAGCGATGTAAGTTACTTTTTCACTCATCGGAAACGCTTTTAATCGCAGGTATAAATGGTACTGGCCGGATAATGTGACAATGGCGCTCGCTGCAAAACTGAACGCCTTGAAACTACTGCTGCAAGTGATCTTTTGCCACCCTCCGGGCGGTCAGTGTCGTCAGGATGGCATAGCAGTGCAGCCGATAAAGTTTTACTTCACCGATCAGACTCGCGTAGGCACGACCGCCGCCGGCGAGAATGCAGTCGTGCAAATGATCGGCTCGCTATATGACAGTATCGAGAACGACTTCGGTTCTCTACCTACCAGATTGTACAGAGCATTCCGGCCAAAACCTGAAAAGTCGTCCACCACTTGGAGGTGGAGACGCCTGTGTTGCTTACCCTACATAGTAATATTTGAATTCTGCTTCTGCAGCTTGTTGATCGGCATCTCGGTGCTCACGATTTACCTCATGGATATTTCGAAAGACCAGTGAGCAATTTTGCACGTCTACTGAATAACATTTGTTCACAATATGTTGCACCATTCGTTTCTGACTTATTGTGTTTTGTGTTTAGAATTACGATGGACCGAGTCACTTCTCATATTATCATGATCACGATCGCTTTGATCTTGGGCATCAGTGTTGTAGCCAATCTATATACATGGAGCAGAACAATGCAAGCACTAGTATTTTCGCAAAGGAGACATCTTCAACGTAACATCTCCAAGTTGGAAACTCTGAAGAGTGAAGGTTTCACTCAGAGCTTGAAAGGTGAAGTCAAACTGATGACGGATATGGTAAGTCAGCATCGTTCATTGATAATTGCGTGACTTCTTCAGTGACGCGTCTTCTAATAATAATTTTGAACAGATCAAGTGCTTGGATAGCTTCATGGCTCAACAAAGTAGACTGGTTATAATAGTGGATGGCTTAGACAGCTGTGAGCAAGACAAAGTTTTATTGGTCTTGGATGCTATACAGACATTACTTAGCGATAACGGTTCTCCCTTCGTCGTGATATTAGCGATTGATCCACACATTATAGTTAAAGTAAGTAGCTAAGTGATTGCAATTTTTGCTTTTCAGTACTGTAAGAAAAATTATTATTTAATATTGTACGTATACACAGGCTGTAGAGTTAAATAACAGAAGACTATTCTCGGAGTCGAATATCGGGGGTCATGATTACTTGCGGACTATTGTCCATCTTCCGTTTTACTTGCAAAATAGCGGCTTACGAAAGGTGAAGGTAGCGCAGCAAACTGCGCAGCATTGCAAAAAAACTGTATGGTCAGAAGCCGAAGAGAGTGTCAACTACACCGCTACCAGCACCATGCATCACTCTGTGTCTAGTCGGAGACTCAGCACGGAATCAGCGATCATGAACAGCAATGAGAAATTGAAACCTCAAACCAGAAAAGGCAGTAGAAAATTACGATTGAGCGAGTCGATCGCGAGCAGTATAGGCAGCAATTTAAATCGATTAGGCGGCGCACAAGATCTCAATAAGATGCTACTTACTGACGATTACTTCAGCGACGTAAACCCACGTAGCATGAGAAGATTGATGAATGTTGTTTATGTTACTGGTAATTCACGAGTTGTATATATGAATCGTATCACGATATTGTTATCATGATTTCGATATTTAACGTTCGTCTTTCCCTTTTAGGCCGGTTACTTAAAGCATTCCAGATTGATTTCAATTGGTATCACTTGGCCAGTTGGATCAACATCACCGAGCAGTGGCCTTTCAGGACATCTTGGCTTATTCTTTATTATGACATGTACGAAGACAGTCTGGATGACAACATGTCGTTGAAAAGCCTTTACGATAAGTAGGTAACTTTTATTACTGCGTTGTCATTCTTTCTTTCTCATATTACTACTTTTACGTCTCTATTTTTATTGCTCAGAGTGCGACCGCAAATTCCGGTACTGAAAGAAGTTCAACCACTCTTAGAGATGGATAGGGACGAGCGTAAACTGGACGTTTTCCTCACCTTTCATCGTGCCAGATTGCTCGTCAGTGATATGAAGATATTCTTGCCTTTTACCATCAATCTAGACCCGTATATTAAGAAGAAGATAAAGGAGGAACAGCAAAGCATAGAAGAGGACGCGAATATAAGCTTTTACAAAACAGGTGTCGTTCGTCACGGTTACAATACTCAGATTGATCAAAAGACTGCGAACAAAACCGCAATGGGCCGATATCCGAGACTACCGAGACAATCGAGCTTGCAGGGATCCGCGCCACCATCTTCATTGTGGAACTTGCAGCCCAGCTTCGAGTGGCATACACCTTGGGTGGTACCTGTTCCACCTATGGAGCTACCGACACCTCGTCCAGCAATAACTACGCTACCGGTATGTGATACATTTGTTAGGCATATCCGAAAACTCCAAGTTTTTGAAATTTGGAAACTTTCATAATTTGCAGAAAAGTAACAATTTTCGTTTAAATACTATTATCGAAATGTGGATAAGATATCAATATCTTGAAATACAATTATTCCAAAGAGAAAATATACCGAAAATAGTACACACAATGGATTTTATTAATCGCTTTGCTTTTGCTTTTTAGCCCGAAATTACGGAGGTGCAGCTTTCAACTTTATCGGTGAACGGAGTCTGCGAATTGATTGATAAAATCGACAACATGAATCCGGCTCAGATTACGGCGTACAAGCACATTGTTAAAGAGAGTAACATCAACGGTCGAGTTCTACTACATTGTGATCTACATGAGCTGAAAAAGGTAACTTTCTTTATATTAATAAAAAGGACGAATTAAATTATGTTCAATTACTAATAAGTACTCGTATTTCTTTTAGGTGTTTAAAATGGCTTTCGGAGATTGGGAAATATTTCGTATGGTACTCGTCTCGCTTAGAGAAATGGAACTCTCGTCGTTCCTAATATGCGACGAGACTTCAAGAAGTGTTCGATTTACCGTAGGACCCGAACAGGCCACACGAAAGGGTATGCTTAATGTTTTCTCTTCGTTGGCTCTCTCATTCAACTCAACATTTTATCTTCATCGTTGTAGATCATTCTCTGCAAGCCAATTCAATGCGTCCAAGTGCTCACGTGGAGAAAGAAAAAGGAACATCGAGGACGGACGGATCGTCACGCCGGGACCAGAACAAGCAATCTATTATGGAAAAGCAGGTATGATATCATTATTAAGTGCACTTGACGAAATTAACATAGTCCTAAATAAATTTATTGGCTGATATATAACTGATCTATAGCTAAGTGAACAAAAATTAATGTTATAATTCTCATTTCTGTGCATTCGCGCTCGATATTAGTTTCAGGTAAGTCGATCCTATGATCACCTCGACATTCAGAGATCTTTAGTTTTAAATGTAAATATGATGTATTATGCTAACCTGCTATCTGCTGAAGTACACGTGTACGTTTCAGGTAACGTTAGAGGAGCAAATGATTTGCGGTGCTCTGCAGACCTTGAACGAGGAAGCATGCGAGGATGTGTTAGACGTGCCATTGCCAGTGATGCAAGTACCAACAGACTCACTTTCAGGTGAGCCCACTCCCCTACCACTTTCAGTGCCTCTGGTCATAATTCAAGAACCACCGCAGGCAACCCTACAAAGCAGTGATCCCTTCGTCGAATACAGTTCTAATGTGTAATTGAATCAGATCCAACGCACGATTATATGTATATATACTTCGCCAAATAGAGGCTCTCGCTCACGCTCCATATGTCGTAAAGTGAAATGAGAATAAAATCATTGACTAGCGTAATTTTGTCAATGCATTTGCAGGAGATATATATATATATTTTTTTTAACATATATATTATAATATATAATATTATAATATAGTATATATATTTAAAAAAAAATATATATATATCTCATATGAATGCATGAATATTATAATATGTTATAATATTATATATTATAATATACTATAACATATAATATTATAATGTAATATATCATATTGTATATCATATAATATGATATATAATATTTATATATTATTATGCGTTATTGCCAATTCGTAATACTGGAAGAAGGATAAAGAAGAAAAGACAAAAAAATCAAATGGATGTACTTTGTCATATTCGATGGTTTTTTTCGGTATACATGTGCATTGTACATTTGCATTCGCTTGGCAGAACATTACCTGATAGTACAACTGACGAAAGATAAACAAATACGACAGCAGTCAATAAACCAATGCGATACTCGTAGAAATATATTGTTCATACCATTTGTAAATTACGGAGATAAAGGGCTATCCCTTAAAGCAAACTCTTCGAGCAGCTTATGCATCTATGTTTTCTTAAAGTCCTCCCGAAATGTGCCAATGCGAGAGATAGACATATCGCGTAAAAGAGTAACACAGAAAAATGAAGGCCATTTAATAATGATACACTAAGATTAGGAACATGATTGTATGCGTATTCATAGAATTAGTATAATATGATGCTCATTTTATATATAATATTTTAATATTTTTCTCTTTGTCTCCTTCTTCCTTTCTCTCTTTCTTTTTTTTAATATGTAACAGTGCCATCTTGAAAGAAAGAGAAGAAAAGAACTGCGTTATGAGGCTCTTAAAAAATTGTAAAATATTATTTATATTGTATATTAGCTGATTATACGTTAGAAGAAATATTTGTTAAATGGTAATCCACCAAACACTTTATTATTGCATTTATAAGCGTACATTATAGGAAAAACAGAGAAAATAAGAAAAAGAGAAAAAATGTATTGAAGGCACTATTCTTACTAATGTCCTAAATGTTTTTTTTTTCGTGAAGGATATATGTACAAAAGACTGTGATAAAAATTGTTCGTACTTATTATGTACTTAAATAGGACGAGTGTCTCTTGTGCGACATTTAATGCCGTCGGTGACGACGACGAGAAACGCGACAGATCCATTATATTTTTAAAAGGATCTAAAAGGATTTCTCTCTTATGTAACGAAGTAATAGTATCGGACGGAACTTCAAAATTGCGTCCTGCTATTCCGATCCACGTATATTTCTTGTACTATATGTACGCTACGAATATTACTATATAGATTATTAGCGCTATGTTAACCAGCAGTATTATGTTACGAGGGCAAGTGGCAATAAAATCTTCTTGCAAACTGACGTCTGACATTACCTTCTTTGCAGTTTGTATCTGACAGCGTTCAGTTAGATGATTCTCATTATGATCGAAGCGTGTCAATGACCGAAGAATTAAAATTGGACAGTCGTGAGAGAGAAGTAACTTTCTTCATTTTCATTCGCGATTCGAGATACTTGTATTTTCATGCGGGAGATCTCGCATTCGGTCTGTCTGTCGGAAAAAGAATTCGTCTACTTCAAAATTTATACTTTTCGGCGTACGCTTTCATTTTGGCCTCGCGAAGAGATACGTGATGAGAGGTATACATTTTAAGAGAAAATCGCACAGAACATACCTTATAACGAGTTTCTGTTTTAGGATCCGCTGCTACCTCAATCCCGGATACGGAGTATGTGCTGCTCCAGGCCAGTCCGCTCTATCACTGGGTGCCAGTGAGCGACGAACCAGGTAGCTCGGACGACAGTTCGCACGACTCCACCGTGTTCCTCCAGCGCACCAACTCGCAGCGCAGCATCGCGTCCCAACGTAGCACAAAATCCGCTTGCTCACACAAGCCCCTGAAGAGGACGGGCAGTAACATCAGTACCAGACCGTCTTCGCTCTTCGTCTCTCCGCCGCCGTCGCCAAAACCTGCCTTTCGCTCCAAGTCCACCGACGAGAAGTACATGGGCAACAACATACCGCTAAAGACCACGTCGTCGTCGTCGTCGTCGGCGACCTGCCTGAAAAAGAAACGTTCGATCTCTACGTCAACGTCGAACGACGAGGTAGCGATATCGATACAGGTGCCCACTTCCAGCCTAGAGAAGCTGTCCAAGCTGAGGGACCGTTTGATCGGCGGCGGTGTACAGAACTCACCGGCACACGGTGGCGAGAGCGACGACGAGTCCACGCCGTTAGTGTCGGAGCTGTCCACGCCGACACACTCTCAGTCGGATAGTGTGTTCAGGCATGAGAGTGCGGAGAACAGCAGTTCGCCGTCGTCTAACAGGAGTTTACCGCGGGACGGCGAACGCTGCTGCGTAGAGTTGGATTATTCGGACACCGTGAGCCTGGTGATATGGGAATCCTCCGGCGATGCGCGACCGCAGTCCCGGCAAGAACCGGCTGACAACCATTGGAACAATACGGAAACGCCTGTCTGATACTCGATTCTATCGTGTGCAGAAAGCGCGACGTTGCATCCTTTTGTGAAGGACGGAAATCCATAGAAGAGAAAAAGGAGCAGGAAGAAATAGAAGATGAAGATGATGAAGAAAAAGAAGACAAAGATGAAGAAAGGGAAGAAGGAAAAGGGCAAAAAGGAGGAGGAAGTAGATCACGTCAGACACACTAATACGCAATAACTCGCGATGCACAATACGTTGTAGGACGTCGTATAAAAGTCTGGAAGTTTGACTTGAGCGATCTGCTGTTACGGGAAGGCCTACATGTGTGTGTACATTTCGATGATATACCACGATAAGGTATCAGTTCTTCGTGCAAATAGTGAACAGACTAACGTGGGGCGTTTATTTCTAGATAGAGCGTTAATTAAACGTGTTCATCCGCTTAGAGAATTGACACAGGCCTCACACGACGAGGAGAATAAACAAAATGCCTTTTTACGCGAGTCGCGTTGTGCAATAGTCTCGAATTAGCCAAACGAGATGTACGAAGTGACATTCCGTGTAAATAGTGATGCATTTACGGGTGCGAACGTCTGTCAATATTTTCTTCTTTTTACTAACAAACGTGACGAAACGTGCTAGAATATATAGTAACGTGAAGGGATCCCTCTCTGGTGTACATATAGTATGTATGCCAGGATATCCTGAACCTAGTAATCGATTTTACGTCAATTCATAATGCCAGTGCAAATAGGTGATTTAAAAAGAAAATGACAAGCAAATGCTGAGTATTTTAAAGAAAATATTCGAACGACCAGTATATAAATTACACGACTGTTGATTAGATTGATACATGTAGCATAATCTAGAAAGAGAGAGAGAAAGAGAGAGAGAGAAAGAAGAAATTCCATCTACTAACATAATTCTATGAAATAAAAATATCTAGAATGTCATAAATCCGAACGGCCAGTTAGTCATTTATATTGCTCCGTGTCTATTTCCAACATTTTTTATCGAGAATTTTGTTAGGAATGTGGCGTTTGCAGCAGGAGCATTTAATTGAAGAGGATTTATTCGTTTTTAGTATCTTTCTATTAATCAGTGATTCACATTTTTCTCTTCACTGGGAATCATAACGAATCATATTGATCGTATCGGGAAAATCGCAGGGAACGTGATCGATTTGTATTTTTAACATATCGTACATTGATTTTATTAAAATAAAAAAGCAAAAATCGTAACGTAACATCGAGTATATTGTAAACATTTATAGGACGGAATACATCAGGGTATCGATATAATTCACTACAATATAAATGTAGATATATTAGCTTTGAAATTATATAATATATGTCGTTGGTTTCTTGACATTAAATACAATAAAATATTCGATCAGATACAATACGTTGCAATAATGTTAAATATTATCGTAATGTATTAGACACAATGTGTTTAGGCTTATTGCAAGAATGCAACATAAAATCGAACCAGTTAAAGCGGCCAGCTACTTCCTCTCTACGTTGTAACGAACGTTTTACGTGATAATTAAGTACACTGGTGGTCCCGCTTGTGTGATTAAATGCATTGCTCGCATTAAGTACTATGTGAAAGCGTCATATCACTTCGAAGCGGCGGCAGCGGCTAGGTTGTTGTTACGCGGAACACAATGAAATTCCGCAATAATACAGGCTGAAAAAGCGGGACATCCTGTATAACGTAACAACAACCTGGCGCGCGCTGATAGATCTAAATCTCTAAATCGTATCAAAATTATGGCATACTGAAAGGATATACGACTCAGAAACGGAGGAACGAATTATATATATAAAAAAATATAGACTTTTATTCGAAAATTCGTTTGCAGTTTCGTATAAACGCCAATTTAGTAGTCGCTCTTTAGATTGCTATAGTAGTAGTATAAATGGAGCACGAAGTGTGCCCCGCCCTAAGACTGACGACGACTTATACATGTTGTAATCCTCTATTTGTTCCTCGATTATTGTCGCAAGAATTATGGTACATAAGTACATTGACGATAAAGAGACATTATCTATGAACAAATCTTAAAAAGAGAGTAGTAGGTAGGTATAATCATCGTCGTGTTGTCCAATACTGATTCCTCGTCAGTAGTCACACCCAATGATCCGTAATGAATCTACAATTCCTCGCCGATAAAAGTGTTCTCAAAAATTATGACCAGGTCTACTTACATAACAATTATTTATATGTAACTCGTGATACAAGCGATATAATATATATTTTACCGTAACGCGCGGAATGTAATACTTATATCTTTAATCAGTCACAGCGAACACATTTTCCCTTCTTCTTTGTCTGATATATTCGCGTAAACACGTGTATTTGTCTATCTCATGTCAAATTTCAAGGCACAATGGCTAAGCAGCACAAAAGTGCTAGCTCATGAGGGCTGATATATAAATGCATTGACTCAAATTCATTGTTGTTCATTGTCGAGACATGAGCAATATAGTTGCCTCACGGTTAAAAACGCAGGTCCGCTCGTCTTAGCTGTACTCCACCGCACTTTTTTTTCTAAGAAACAAATTGAACGTACACTAAGATTCATTAATGCCTTTACACTTCCGATATTTGGAGAATTGGACTTTTTTGACCTGGCACATCGTTTCTCAGTAAGTATGAACAGTTAGTTGTTGGTTCTTTCAGTAACTAACAATCACGATTCACGTTTGCTGAGAAAAGATGCGCCAGATCGAAAAAGTCCAATTCTCCAGATACCGGAAGTGTAAAGGCATTTATCCTAGTGTACGTCTATCTTTTCCAGAATCCTAGTGTACGTCTATCTTTTCCAGAATCCTAGTGTACGTCTATCTTTTCCAAAAAAAAAGACGGGAGTGAAAAACGGAGAGCCCAGCTAAAATGAAGAGACTGCGGCGTGTGCACTCATAATACATATTGGCAGGTTGTAAGGACACTTGTTTTTATCGACACGTTAGCTTAAGGCAAATGCATCGTACAATTAAGGAATGCGGTGCTACAAATAGACTAAACTTATTTATAATCTGGAACGCGAGTTGCATCGCGTGAGTCCTTAGGCATAAAAAGTAGAGAAAAGAACGAACGATCGCGTTATTATTAACTAACGCGAGAATTTACAATGATAATGTGTATTAGTTGAAAGCGATGCTTCACCCCTGCTTTTACACTTGAGTACAATTTGGAAGCCTTTCGTAAAAAAAAATATTTTTCCAAACGAGTACTTGTGTATGTATTTAGTTCAAGCTGTCATGTACCGACGTTACGCACTATATAAGCGCGTCAAAGTAGAAAAGACACAGGCAGTCTCTGAGGAAGACCGGAATAATTACACACGTCAGCGCTATCTTGTAGCGCGTTGTGTCGCACGTGAGTGTATGCGTGTATGTACATACGTACGTGTGGTATGTATCCGATGTATTACGTGTCCTTTGTATTCAATAAATATTTTATAATTGTGTGGTAATCACCGTCTTTCTCGTGACGACCGTATGCTTGGTGGGCGTTTGATCAGGTGCCGGACTCTGTAACAGATCCTCCACTAGCCAGGGACTGATGTCCGATGCCGCCGGGCTTTCGTCCTACGGGAAAGAGCCTTCCTCAGTACATTTCGATACATTGTAACTCTGAGATCGTATTCTGGACATACATCTGGCACTAATTGATTCCGAGTGCTGTTCCTATAATACTGAGTGCGTTTACAAAGCAGCCTAAAATTGATTCAGTAACATCTCATCATTGTTGAAGATAATCTACGTTTATATGATATAAAATAAAATCAATTTGACCTACTCGATATTGTAATCACTGACTTGATGCGTGAAAGATTTGTCATGTTTCCATTAAATATTCGTACACATTAAAAAAATACCCAACCAATATTATTAATCTTATTAGTAAATATGATTAATCTTTCGAAATTGAGTAATTTTATTTGACAAATCTTTTGCACCAATCTAATATTAGTGTTGCATGTCATATAACATAGTTACAACATAATTGTTTATACGACATGTAACATCGATAATTATATAGGGAATTATTAAATCGGCTTTATGCTGTTCACGTGAATGTAGACTACGGATGTTACTAAAACGGTTTTAGATTGTTGCATAAATCTAATTGTTGTCTCAGCTAAATAATCAGAAAGGTACATTCGTTAATGCATCCAGATACTATCCTTGATCGTTCGCGATCTAATTAATTATAAATAATAATAATTATAATTAAAAATATAATTATAATTAAAATATAATTATAAATAATATATTAATTATAAACGACTAATTAATTATAAATTAACTAAGGGTTTCTAGAGCGGTATATAGGTTCAAGCAACATTGGAGACTATTCGCTATTCACAAGTGCGTAGACTACTTTCACATGGGGCGCGAAGCAGATTTTCACGGAGCTTTCACCGGTAACGAGTAAGTCACTCCTGGAATAAACTTTCGTCGCTTTTCTCCGGTAATTAATTAACGTCGAGCGACAAGAGACATACTGTGGCATTCTAGGAGACGATTTCCTCGCTTATCGGTGAAACTGGGCGCCGTTGCGTAACAAAACGAGACGTTGCACAGCTGGCTCGCAAGCTTAAGAAATACTGACCTTGTGCGTGAGCGTCGTAGTGGTCGTCTGTATCTCCTCCGTCTTGACGACTCGCGCTCCGGCCTTTTCTGGCTCTGCTTCGATCTTTCTCTCGATCGCGATCGGTTGTTGCAGCTCCTTGAACGGATTCAGTATGCCTAGGAACGGATTCGAGTCGATGAACGGATTCGTATTTTTCTGTTTGTCATCCTCCGGCTTAGTTTCTTCCTCGGCAGCCTCGAGAGCGTTGTCGTTGCTAGTATCGTTGGTGAACGGATTGAAGGGATTCTGCGATTGATTCGACACCTTCGGACTCAAGGGTGTGGTCTTCTGCTCGATCTGACCCCAGCTGTCCAGCGAGAAATGCGTCACGGTCACCGTGTCGTCCGTGGCGGGGTTTACCGCGGTCGTTGCTCCGCTCACGGAGAGGGTGAGCTTGTCTCCGCCCTATCCGACGAGGAAAGCGAGAAAGCAAACATATTATGATAGCTGGGCAGCTAGCGGTTTGAGAAGCAGCCACGCTAAAAAATGTGTGGGCACAAACAGTAAAGAGGAGACAATCAAATGATACGATTACTTAATAAGCTGCTATATGAACTAATAAAAATGTCTTGCTCCAAATATCGCGCGAGTAGTATGTAATAATACGGACATAGGAAATATTATATTAGTCTGGTACAAAAAGTTTGTTATATTTCGATTTAATTCTTATAGAAAGTTTGAGCATTAAAAGCAAAATAGAAAGTTCTTGTATTACACGTCTAAAATAATACTGAATCAATGCTACTTATTTCTCATAACATAAAAATTGTAAGTCCAAAATTGGATAATTCTGTCTTCTGTCTTATTTAACCATATCTATTTTATTTTTCGACTTATTTTATTCGACATAAAGAACACGACAAACATTTTGTATCAATCTAATATAACTTTTAATCCAAGACTAAAAACAAGACGAGACTAAGGGCAAGACGAGAAACGTACACATAATTATATGAATGAAAAGCACGTAATAATAATGACAGAACCAAAACGAGACGAGAAACTATAAAGTAACAAAAGAATCTATGACGACTTACCACAGAAACTATCGTTGCCGCGTCTGAATGCTGATTTTTTTTCGTGATGATCCCAGGCGCGTCCGTCGATGTAATAGAGATCAAGTTTGAGTTCTTACCCTGCTCGAGAGTCGCCTTTAGTATGTTACACTTAAGCGACTCTGGCGGGATCGGCGTTCGCGGCGGCAACGACGACGTTCCGCCCACTTGATTGTTCGGCACTAGCTGCACTTGATTGGCAATAGTCTCGACAGTCAAGCTAGTCTTCGTAGGCTCCGACTCCTTCTCACTGCTGGCAACCGTAGTCTGATTCCTCGGCTCCAGAGGCTGTTGATCTTTAGCGAGAGACTTCAGTAGCGAGTCCACTAAGGGCGAAGAGGTACCTTGGACGCTCGAGTCCGAGGACTTGGTGCTGCATCGACTCGGTTGTCGCTGCAGAGGCTCTTCTTCGGCTGAGCAAATAATTTTCCAAGTTCTTCATCGAACATCAAGAACTCTATATTGTAGAAATTTAAAAGTTGCAACGAAAAGCAAGGTTGTGCCGTATATTTCGAGATTACATCTACGCGAATCGTTAAACGTACTGTCTATGTAATGTATACACTGTCTTTTTTCCAAGTATATAAAGAAATGTTATAGTTACATCAGGATTTTAAAGACTGAATAAAAATATAAACTTTTCTCAATTAATTTTTGAGCATTCATATATTCTGTAAACAAAATCTATAGATTACTTATCGTCTATATAGATATCTTATACATAGTTTACGTTATGTTTACACGTAAACATGGAATATTATAATTTACGCGTGGACGTCCAACCTTGACAAAAAGTCACAGCTTTACCTGGAGGCGGGGTAGGTTGCGTTTGCTCGACTTGTTGACGCTGCCGCTCGCGTAGGACATGACTCTGCCGGCGCGCATACCTCTGACTCGGTCGTCGCTCGAACTGCACAGTGCGGCGCGCCCGATTCAGCTGTGTCGTCTGGAACTCGGTCTTGCCGCTATAACGGAACCTCGAGCCCATGCGAAAGAAGTTCTGACGGCCGCTGGCACCCTTGACCGGCGCACGCAGACGGAAGAAAGCATGATGCTCGACTGCACACTTCCACAGATGCTTGCACGCTTTCTCGTTCACTAGCCTGAACACAAAGGTGTGCTCCTGCTCGCCTCTGCCCTCGTCGTCCTCTTCGACTACCACCAACGTCAATTTCTTCTTCTTGAAGTCCAGACGACCGATCTTAGGCCAAAAGAACAGACCAATCTTCTGCGTGCCCTCGAAGACCAAGATGCCGGTAGGAGTCAAGCCCAACGAGTACTCGCAAGCGTCTTTGCCGAGCACCGTATGCATGTCCACACCGTACATATCCAGCCACTTGGCCTTGCTAAGATATGAGGATTCTGCCTGCGCTGGACTCAGGCCTGAGGTCCTCATATACTCCTCTAGTATCTCCAGTTCCATCTGCTCTGTTTGCCCAGGCACAAAACGAAATTCCGAAACTGTTGCGGCACTGTGTATAGCAGCATCGTAATCTCCCAATTCAGCTAAAGGCAAAAAAAGAGCTAATTTGTCTTCAACATGTGAAATAATTATCTACCAAACGATAACTGTCAGATGAGAATTATTGCTTAGTTTTCTCAGTAGATGCAGTTTAAAAATACTCACACTGTAGTGCTAGAGCAGCTAATTGAACTGCAACTTGATGTGGACAGTGTAGTCTACCTTCTAGAACATCTTGTTTCAACTGCAGGAAGAATTGATAACGTGTCAATTCTTCACGCAGTGTGTTTGGCTCAGAGGAATAGAACTTTACTTTGAGTCTGAGCGTATATGGTGGGCCAACTAAACAACAAACAGATCTATTAGTTTGATATCTTTATGTATATGTGTATGTGCTCACTTTTGTAAGAAATTGAACAACCACCAATAACGCATACTTTTTACTTGCTTCTTGATGGGTTTTGTTGGATCTAACCAATGCTGAACATTATTACTGTCTGTATATTGTAGTCCAAAGTAGTCCTTTTCTATTAGATCTAGGCTATAAAATACTTGCTCATATAAGTCACTAGCCAGTGCTTTTTTCTATAAAGAAAATAAATAATTATAAAGCATCTATACAGTATTTTTTTTCTATAAAGAAAGTCAATAATTATAAAGCATCTATACAGAGAGAAAATACAAAAGTGTAAATTAGCTTTTGCTAAGTATCAAGACTTTCAAATTAAACAATCCTATGACAATAACTACAATAAAAGTTATTTCACTTTGTATAAAACAAAGTAATTATTTTATTATTAGAATATATATTAGAATAGAAAAAGAAAGACAGAGAAAGATTAAATGTTTAAAAAAATGTTAGTGGTCTGCAGAGCAGATTCAATAAATATTTTTTCAGTTAACTCACTGACAGCTCTATAGGCAAATCTGTGCCATCCAACAACACCACCCTACACTGTACGACGTTTTTATTACTGGGTAATCTTTGATTTTTTATTTGTGACGAGGTCTGGCCGCTGACGCTGCGTGCTCTTCGCCGCGATAGAAATCTCAACATGATGTCCTTTCGCCCTTCGTGCTCGGTAGAAGGCGAAATCGCCGATCATCGGCCTGTATTCGATCTTTCAGATGAGGATCACGTTTCTCTTCTCCTTATCTCTGTCTATCTCCTTCACTAATATTCCAATTCCACTGTCAACACAATATACTGATATTTTCAACTGTGTTTAGCTTTCCCGCGGATACCTCCAAAAATTACGGCAATCATCATTTCACGTCGTTATTACCTGTCGAATGTGTTCTCCGCTTCGATCCGCCCACTCTCTCTCTCTCTCTCTCTTTCTCTCTCTTAGTAACGAGGAGAATCGACGAGATAAATCGACCGAACATACACAACGTAAACGCGGAAACTGCTCATCGACGAAACGAGCGTCCACTCGATATTGCTACATTCTCCACTTGTCCCAATTACATGGACTGTTGAATTCAGTCGATCTACAGCTGCGACAACGCGATCCACTCGACGCACACCTGAATTTACGGCACAGTAGCGGACACACAACTCTGCCAGAAATAACGGGTATTTAAGCACTAAGCCGTCGGACGGCGAATCGGAATGTCCAGTGACTGTATAGGAGTTACCATTTCCCTCTCTACACTCGCCTACACTGTCTGAACTCAGAATTAAATGAATACATTGGGATTTGAAGAAAGAGGGGAAAACTCTTGTAAAAGATTGTGGGAAGTGTAACACAAAGATCAATTAAAAAGGATAGTTATATTATACCTATTTACTTATATGACTTTCATATGTAATAAAACAAGCATGAGCGTCGATAACTTGAAGAGAAAGGTAAGTTGTACTCAGTTGCACTTCCAGCACTTTCTGACAGCTTTTATTTTCCTTCTCTTTCTTTCCAATAGTGAATCATATGCTCATTGGATTTTCCATGCGGGAAATAATTGCATAGTTTTCCCTGAAAAAGGGATTGTATTCATGTTTCTCAGACGTTAAGAAACATATAGGCTTTGTTCTTAGTTGCGTTGTGAAATTACTGTATAAGTAAAACACAAATGTCTAAATTACATTTCAGATTCATTTAAAATAAATAAAATGATATATCTCTAAATTCTTTAAATGTTTATACAGTCTGGTTATATGCACTACAAATAAAAATTTACAAATAGATTTTAATCTTCACTAACGGAAGATTCAATTGGCTATAACGTCTATAAAAATAATAGTAACAAGGCGGTTTAAGAAATATTTTACAAATTAAAATTTCTATGTTATATATATATATATATTTTTTTTTTTTTTTTTTTTAATATAAAATGTCCAAATTTTGTGTGTGTTTAAGTTCGTCTTGTATAATGTGAAAGAAACATTGCATATTAAAAGCTCATAAGGTACAGCGGGATAAATTGAATAGCAGGGGAATTTGGGTAATATTAAGCATTTGCGACAATTTCAGAAAAATATGAGACGTCTTGTTTTATATTTGAGGTTAGCATGCTATATATTCATATTTTTATGCTATACTATATATCATATTTTTCTAAAATTGTCGCAAACGCTTAATATTATCTAAATTTCCCCGCTATTTAATTTACCTCACTGTACTCTATTGTTTAAAAATATAGACTTTCCCTTTAATTTTCACACTGACAGATTAAACCGATTATTTCTCACCGAAATATTTAATGTTAAAACAAAAACACAATCGCCATTCAGATCTGTTTCTTTTCACAGAAACTGAACGAATCGATATATATCGATACATATATAAGTTCATTGTGAAGAAAGCTAAAAATGACCTCTTTCAAGCGTTTTGGTTGTATTTTTCTTATAAGTAGAAAAAATTCGCTGAAATAATGAGTCTAAGGCCGGGTATTCATAGTCAGATTTTATATTTAAGACGGTTTAAGTTTATCTTCAGATGATAAACGGATTATTTCATTGGCTACGGAATATCTGAAGATGAACTTAAAACAGTCTTAAATATAAAGCGTCTTCTACAATGGCAGTAGGAGTAGTAGTAAGAAATAAGCAGTAAGTAAATAAACCAATCACAATCGATTATTTTTGAAACGTGAGAATAGAATTGATCAATTTGCTTACTGCTTATTTTTTACTATTACTCCTACTGCCATTGTAGAAGACGCTTAAGATCTAAAGTCGGTTCCTCGTACTAGTGCAGGGAGTTCAACTTTAAAGAACAATCCTATGGAAATGCGCGCGGTGTGAAATGTTTTCAATCAATAAAGCTGGTGGCACATAGAAAAACTTAAGCCCATTCTACAATTGCATAAGCGTAATCGTGAACGTAAAGGGACGTCTACATTGGAAGTAAGTAGCAAGAAGTAGGAAATAAGAGTAAGAAATTGACCGATCACAGTCGAATGTGAGAAGAATAATCAACTATGATTGGTCAATTTCTTATTCTTACTTCCTACTTCTTACTGCTTACTTCCAATATAGACGTCCCTTAAGAGTCAACCAATCCGAATGTTTTATTCACTGATTGCTTTACTCTGATTGGTTGTCGTAATCACTTACAACCACTTACATCCACGTTCACGCAATTGTAAAATGGGCTTTAAGCAGTAAAACGTAAGCAGTAAGCAAATTGACCAATCACAATCATTGATTCTTGTTACGGTCCAAGAATCAATGACTGTGATTGGTCAATTTGCTTACTGCTTACGTCTTACTGCTTAAGTTTTTCCGTGTGCCACGGCCTTTAAGCAACTCAATTGCGCGATGATAAATGAGGTTACTTTAGTCAACAATATCGACGTTAATTACATATATATAATGTTTTTTCATGATGCATTTTTTAATATATATTTGTAGCAATTGCAGTGAACAATGTATTTTATTGATGAGTCGATTGCTGTCAATGAGAGACTAAAGTAATACTGAATATAACCTAAAGGTCATATAAAGTAGAAGTTGTAATGCGTATTGTGATTCGCTGACAGTCGCGTGAATGCGGCGAGAATAGTAGAGATGGTGGAGGACATGGACAGCTTGGACGACAAGTTGTTTAATAATGCATTCAAGAGAAATCCATCCTCAGAAGATGGCAGAAAAAGAATTACATTTGCAGGTTCAATTTGATACATTCATTAATATAAAACTTCAAACAAGTCCATTACATGAAAATGTATGAATGTATCTAATTGAATATTTGTTCCTTACTTGCATAGATGAGGACGATCCATTAGCTGATTTATTAGCAGATAAAAATGATTTTCCATCAAGCCAAAGGAATCCAATAGCAGTAAGAGACAAACGAAATATTATAGATAACTTGTTTGACACAAAGGTTTCCAATGAGTCAATATCGAGTTCAAAGCCAGGTGAGAAAGGAAATGACTTCAATCCATATTATATTCAAAAGGTCTAAACAGAAATAAATTAGGCAAAAATTATTTGGATGCAAAGAATGTATCAGTTAATACTTTAAAAACTTAATTCTGAGGAAAACAATTTTGAAAACAGCACACAAGAAAAGAAAAATTAATTGTCAAATATTCTGCAGGGAGTGAAAAGCTGAAAGTATTAGATGATAAATCAAAAAAGTTGTCACTTATGCAAGATTTGTTTGGGGATACGCTACACACATCTCCTTCAAAGGAATTGAGTGTTAGCAAAAAATCCACACAGCCAGAACAAGAAGCATCAGTCACTGAAGTTTCTAGGACACAGTCGCAATTCTCCACATATGCACCAACAGCTTTTGGAACCAGAGAACCTCGCAGAGGCAAAAGAAGCTCGGAGATAATTAATGATCCTTTGGGGTTGTTATCTCTGAGCACAGCATCCAGCCAGACTCAACAATCTGTTAGTGTAAACTATAATTAATCACACTCTCTTGTCTGATTTATGTTTCATGATTGTTTTTTTAATTTTAAAGACAATAGAAAGAAATGCAGTATCCGCAGACTCAATTAGACGGAAATCCGAGACTAAGGAATATTTGCCAGAATGGTTAGAGATTAAAAAATCGTCAGAAGATAAAAGCGCCGATCACACTCAAGACAGAGCAACACCTATTGAGGAATTGTATAGCAGACATAGAAGATCCAGCTCTGACAAGGTTGTTCAAGAGGTAAAGAATATTATTTATTTAGTAAAGATAGAATTTAAACTCGCGTTTCTTTTGTTTTTATTCAAATTTGGTATTATAAATATGCAATTACTTATATGATTATCAATATCATAATGCAAAAAAAATAATATGCAGGCAGCAAACATACAACAAAAGGAAGAATCAAGACTATCCGAATCATTGCCACAGGAAAAAGAAAAATTAATGAAATCATTGGACAATCAGAAAGAAATCAATGAACAGGAAAAATGGAAGGTTTCAGTTGAAGAAGATCAGAGAAACCACAGGGTAGGCCACTTTTATTTAAAAAACATGTAATTAATTTTTGTTGTCAGATCGAATGTTTATATTTAATTTCATGATGCAGACCAATACAGTGGTTGTTTCAAGTTCTAATGTGAGTAGAAATTCAGTAGACGATAATTTAATTCACAAAGAAACAGGATACAAGAATGTAATTCAAAAGTTAGAATTAGAGAAGTCCCACATGTCGGTAACGATACACAGTTTAAATGAGAAATACGAAAATGAAATAATGATTCTAGATGAGTCATACAAGTAAGTAATTACTGGACTGAATATGAATGCAAACAATTCTTTCCAGAAATTTATTCATATTGTTTTTCTATAGACGACAAATAGGATTTTTGCAAGAAAGAACAGATACATTAGAGAAGAGAATGCAACAAGAGCTTGAATATTTAGAGACAGATTACGAAGCAAAGATCGAAAAACTGAAAAACGAGAGGATACAAATTGAAACGTTCTACAAGGAAGAAATACAGAATTTGAAGGTATGACATTTCTTGACACGTTACACACATTGACTGCCAATAGAGACTGACTTACTATAGTGAAATAACTATACATGATGATATAGTTTAAACATATTATATAATATATTAAATATACAAAGCACTCAAACTATTCATTAAGTAATGAATAATCTTATAAACGTCTTTCGAAATTGTTATCGTTAATTGCTGCTAACTATAGCTACAATTGACGTCAACTTAAATTACAACCGTTTTGTTTTAGAAGGAACATGCGCAATTTATAGAAGAAATTTACGAGCGACACTCGCAAAATATAAGACTGTTACAGAAGGAGCATTTTGATACAATAGAGAATCTATTAAAAATGAGAGAAGTTGAGAATTTAGCTATGACGACTATAGCGACCCACAAGACTGATCTGCAGAATTTGTTACAGAAAGCTGGTTTCATTATAGAGGATATAAAAAACGTGCAAGAAAAGACTGACCAAAGAGACGGCCAAAGTGTAAAGTTAAGGGAACATCACTTGAAAAACCAAGAAGAAGATGTACAGAGTATGTTAATATGTAATTTTTAGGCAAATAATTAGAAGTAATTATTTTTAATATTATAATATTAGAATTATAATATAAATTTATAAACTCTTTTTTTTATAATATAGTACGATATGCAGATGTGAAGAAACAACAGGAGCTACTAGTGCAGGAACGTGACAGAATGATGAAGATAGCAGACAAATTGGACTCGCACGTTGCGCAGCTGGTGCTTGAATTAGAGAAGAAAAGTACCATGCTCAACGAAGCGTTAGAAACGTTAAAAAGAAGAGAACAATTCCTGTCTCATGAAAGAGAGATATTTGAGGAGAAAGTACAATGGGAACGTAATCATTTACAGGTAACTTAATCAGTATAACATAATCTTAATATATGTTATTAAATCATCTATCTCCTTTAAAAGCTTATAACAATATATCGATATATCCTTAGGCTTTAAAAGAATCGTGGTTTAATGAACAAGAAAAAGAATTAAGAGCTTTGACAAAAGAAAAAGAGATGATTGCGGCTAAGAAGAGGCAATACGAAGTTCTCAGAACGATCAAAGCTAATTCCGACAGTACTACGAAGATAGAGGTAAATCAAAAGAATAAATCCGCGACATATGGTTCATAATGCAATTACATAGGACAAATCATATATTAGTTAGCTGCCGCCATGAAAGCAGCTCAAGATGCTACCGTGCTCGCTAATCAGGAACGATTAAAGTGGCAAGAAAAAATCAAAGATCTCGAAATGCAGCGGCAGAATTTGCAAGAAAAAGAATACCGCCTTTTAGCACGCGCGCAAGATCTCGAAAATTTTACACAGGTAATAATAGCTGCGTTTGGCATTGTAAATCGGATACATCGGATTGCTCTTTCATCTCGAAGATGCATAGAAATGAAAAAGATACTCGTATCTCTCTCATTTCTGTGCATTTTCGAAGTAAAAGAGCAATCCAACGTCTTCGATTTACAATGTCGAACGCAGCTATTAATAATAAATTGTGCGGTAATATTTTTGAGAAATGGAAATTAACATGATTAAATTGCTATTCAGGTAGCATACGCGAAAAATGAGGAAGCCGTGAAGGCGCTAGAAGAAGCTCGTCACATCGAAAATGAGCACAAGGCCACATTCGATGCGCACTTTGGTGTGTTAGCGCATCGGCAAAATACAACTGCACAAAAACTTAATATGGCGAGGTGAAATGGCGTGTAACGCGATATATAAATTTTTGCAAAATTAATATTTACAAATGTCTTTGGATTTTTTAGCGAGAGGTTAGCCTTAAGAACTGCACAAGTGGAAAAATTGGAGAAAAGTACAAACATGAATATTCCGTACAATTATGAACAAACAAATACAGAGAAGCAAGCATTGTCTAGTCAGCAAAATGCATTTCAACTTACTACTCATTTTACAGTAAGAAGACAATTGTGAAATAATTTATAAAATCAAGGAATATTTGTAATGTAGTGAAAAAAACAATTATATATACATAATTGTTATACTATATTATATTAGTATTATAGTATATTATATATAATTATAATATATACACATAATTGTTTCAGGAAATTGTAGACCCTCAATTGGTAATGTTGAAGTTAAATCTAGATGACCAACTAGATAATGTTCAATATATGACTGCCATGAAATTTTGATAACATCTGATAAATTTATATTGTATACTTTTCTCAAAAAAATATCTGATATTTTGTGCATTCTAATAGTTGCAATAAATATTGATGTACATATCATTTTATAGTTGATCCACTGTCTGTTGACTCACCATGTGCTGTACAATCCATAATCTCATCTGGAAATATTTTTTCATTATATAGTAGATTACACACATACAACATTTTTCTTCATAATATAAAAAAGATAGTTTTTAGATATAATTATAACATATATCTTTTGTTTTAATATACACAAATATTGCAAAAATTACATGCTTATTACAAGCATGAAATATTACCACTGTTGTTTCTACTGCTATCACCTAAAATATATTGCTCAAATACAGAGATGTTTTCTTTCAATGCTTCCAGTTGAGCAATGCAACATCTTGTTTGATACAGTTCACTTCCTATAGCTCCTGTACATGTTGTCTAACAGGAAATTGAAAGATTTAGTTACAATTATTGTGGCATTTTTTCTTTAGCAAATTCATATCTGAATAATTCCCAATATTTACCACAGCTTCAATCAGCTCTGAAGAATTCACATCTTTTTCTTTAACATTATTCAATGTTTCATAAGTATCTCCTATATTGTTCAGAAAATTAATGGCTTCAGCAAACATTGTTCTCACATCTCTGTGGAAAAATATACCAGATTAAAATTGTTATATCTAAAGAAAAGTAAAAGTAAGAATTTTATTTGTACTGTGCATTATTATGTGGTACAGGCAAGCCTGAAATATGTTCCGAGGAATGCACAATTTTATGTATAATGTGCTTATGGGCTGTAATCATATTGAGATGCTTTGTAATATTTTCCTTACTCTGCTGTGTCTCTTCTGCAAAAAATGCATCAATATGTAATTGTGATAAAACGGACATCTAAATAATCAATATACTGTTATTTTATATTGTGTATTTTGAAGTGTGTAATTAGAAAATAAAAATAATATGTACTTTGTAAATCTCGCAATTCTTTAATTAATTTCTTATGGTCGTCAGGCTCATTATCGAGCTCTTTTAATTTATGTTGATTAAGGAGTCTCTTCTGCTGTGAGATCTTTATGAAATGTTCTATATCCTCCATGTTGATAAGATCAAGCGAAAGCAAAAGATCAGGGAGAGTCTCCTTTAAGGTTTAATTTAGCATTAATAATATATTTTTTTACAGATTATTTTAAAAAGTTCTTCAAACTATCTCTGTTATTGCTACTGCTTGTGCTGACCCAGGGTTATAATTTTTATACCGCAATTTTCTCAAATACTCAGTTACACTGAATACATTCATCACACATAACACGTTACATTTAAAAAAGTTTTCAAAACGAACATGCACCGAAGATGCACGAAGATGCAAGATATGTAATCTAAGGTTTTTTTGCGTCGCATGTCCCAACATGCTTCTACTCACTCCAACGTACTCTGATTGGTCCGCGTGGTGACATGAGCCAATCAGAGTACTAATCTAGGCTACGTTCCAAAATACTTAAGCCCGTATCAGAATATAGATTAGGATTGAGATTGAATTGAAATTTAGCCAATCAGAGCAAAATTCACTAAGCTCAAGTTTGGTGAACTTTGCTCTGATTGACCAATTTTCAATTCAATCTCAATCTTAATCCATAGTCTGTACGGGCTTAAGAGCCTTCGCACAAGACATCCGTAATATATTAAGTTTACGGATTTCTTTGTGCGTTGATTTAAGTTTAAGTTTACATACAGATATTGTCAGTATTTAACTAACGTAACATATTACGGATGAGCTTGTGCGTTGTCTCTTATTCAATACGTTTATTGGTCAAACAAGTACTTATAAGCTTTATGATTGGCTAATAGAGACTTATGACGTCAATAATCGCTCTCGGAGCGATTAACCCAGGGCCAGTCGAACACGCTATTAAATCAGCGGCACACGGTGCTTGTTTCGTGCTAGTTCCCTTGGATTGAAATACTCTGTTTTAATTGGTGCATTTCCATTTATCTTCAGAAATGTATTAATCAGAACAGAGTATTTCCACCCAGCAAGCAATCCAGAACGAAAACATGCACCGTGTGCCACTGGCTTTAGTTATCTTTGTTCTGATTGATCAATTAAATGCTACTCTACCCGTCGAGTAGAGTTTTGGAACGCAGCTCTTGGAAATGACTCCTAAAGTTAGTGTGGTTTCCATCGCTGATATTTACCATCTCGTTATCGTCATACTTCATATTTCTTGTGTAGTCGATCGCACGCCATTTCGAAGCAAAAGTTCGTGGTGAGTTAAAGCGCGTTCCTGTGTATCTCACAAACTTATTTTTTGGCGTCGCGATCGTCAGGAATACCTTCAGACAAAGTAGCGTTTAGAAAATGGGCGAGGATTTCAATGGAGGTGAGTTAATCGGCGCCCTAATATGTCCCATCGTCGCTTTTATTCCGCGACATTCCCGCGTTATTATAGCTGGCTCTAGCCGAGATCTGTTTAAATGTAATGGCCGGGCAGATGAATGTTACCGTGGCTGGTAAACAGCCGCGAGGCACACCTCTGGCATCATGAATTTCCCATTGTTTCATTTGATCGCTAATTTACGCCAACTATGGTGTTGGCATTAGAAGAAATTGATCCAGTACGAGATAACGGAGCTCAAACAATATCGCTCGATAGTGGTGTATTAGATGTATCGTACATATATATGTGTATTTTTCTCGATCAGCATAATGCAATTATGTGATTATTGTACATGTTGCTGTTCTTAATTTTTTATATGTTGTTTCTATTTGGAGTAAAATAATCCAATACAATTTATATGAGTGAATTTAATGAAATATTCACTGTTATGTAATTATGTGTTAACTTTGATTCCAATTGAATATTCTCTCTAAAACCAGATCGCGACAGGCAGGACAGAGATAAGGATAGAGATAGGGATAGGGATCGCGATAGGAGACACCGATCTCGCAGCAGAGATCGCAGAAAGCGGTCACGTTCTCGTTCAAAAGATCGCAGAGACAGGAAGAGGAGTAGCTCACCGAAGAAGAATCGTAGCTCCAGAAGAAGGAAACCCTCTCTTTATTGGGATGTGCCTCCACCTGGCTTTGAACACATTACCCCTTTGCAGGTGATCTTTGTTAGAATACTTTTAGTTATTATAGATTTAGTATTTTGTAATTTTAGTATCTTATAAGAGAGAATTTAATTATTTCAATTTATATCTAATTGTACCTGACAAAATACTTTTATTTGTATCTTGGTCTCTTGCAGAGTGATCTTGCTTTCAGAATATTGTTTATATATATATTTTCTTTATTCTTTCAGTACAAAGCTATGCAAGCTGCTGGACAAATACCTGCAAATATTGTAGCAGACACTCCTCAAGCAGCTGTGCCTGTAGTTGGCAGTACGATAACACGACAAGCAAGGAGACTATATGTAGGGAACATTCCATTTGGTGTTACTGAGGAAGAGATGATGGAGTTCTTTAATCAACAGATGCATCTGTCGGGACTTGCACAAGCTGCTGGCAACCCAGTATTGGCTTGTCAAATTAATTTAGACAAAAATTTCGCATTTCTCGAGGTATAACTTAGTTGTCCTTACTATATATATATCTGTGGTATAATTCTTATCATTATATTATTTTTTATTATATTATTTCTATAGTACACAAATATTATAAATTTAAAAAAATTAATATATAGCATATCTGACAATTATTGACACATCCTTTGTGTACAGGTAGAAGTCATTAAATAGATTACGAAATTTCTATCTTAGCAAATAATTACGTAAACCTTTGAGTTATTAATTAAAGAAGATTGATGAATAATCACGCGATATGGAAAATGAGCTGTGATAACAGTATTTGCCTTTTATGCTTAGCTAAAAACCTACATAGTTATTTATGAAATGGTAGATTATTTTTTTATTCAATTTTTATAATAAGTACACGACGGCAGATTTAATGAATTCTGCTTGCACACAAAGATTATGTCAATAATTGCCAAACACTCTGTACAATATAGATATTATATAGTAATACACTATGTAATATCACTAAGTCGTGATATTAATTTTGATCTCTCTTCAACACAGTTCCGGTCGATAGACGAAACTACACAAGCTATGGCGTTCGACGGAATTAATTTCAAGGGGCAAAGTTTGAAGATAAGAAGGCCGCACGATTACCAGCCTATGCCAGGAATGACCGATAATCCAAGCATGAACGTGCCAGGTACGGTTCCTGGTATGTTTTAGGCATACATTTTATATTCTCACAAGGAATGGACCACTTGGCGATACAATCTACGCTCGTCTTAATTCCTCGTTTATCTTTTTCAGATTCGCCACACAAGATCTTCATTGGTGGTTTGCCCAATTATTTGAACGAGGAACAGGTATGCCCGCAACTCCGTGAAGTACCTTTATTTATTGCACTTTGGATGCAGTTCTTCCTCATTGATGCCTCATTGATTACGCTCAATCGCGCGTTAACGAGTCCGTCGAATCGTCTCGATTATCTGATTGTACGAGGAATCGAAAGCGTAAAATAATCGCGAATGGCTTCAATGATCGGCGAATAATTGCATCACGCGATACTGCAACGGTACGGGGTTAGAGTGCAGGAATGTGCGTGCGCTAATCCCTTGCGTTGTAAGTTACCCTCAAAGGATTAAATTATAATATAGGTATATTTAGCTATTTAGCGGTGAGTGTACTCACGCGAGCGGCGAATCTCGCGTCCTGATGTGTCCCGAGCTCAACAGAGGTATGTATGCGTTTCCATCAGATTTCGGCGTCGGTTAGGTTCCTCATTTAGTCAGGCTCGGTTCGTGACTATTCCTTATTCGTTCTCTCTCTCTCTTTCTCTCTCTTTCTCTTTCTCTCTTTGCCTTTCTCTCTCCCTGTCTCTTTTTAACAGTCTCAGAGACGAGAGACGATAATTTGCTTCGCATTTCTCCACGACGGTACTACTCTCGCATATTGTTCCAACGCGCTATGCGTCGTACACGTTAGATCAGGGAACTTAGTGGCGTTACAGCATTTAGGTGGTGTGCAGTCACGACGCTCATCTTCCTCTCCTTACAGCCTTTCTAGGCACGTCGCGGACCCAGTCCATCATGAGGATACGAGTCTCGCATTTAGGCATCTTTTTTTAGGAACAGTAAAAAACACTCTAGGGAAATCATGGGCTAATGGGATAAAAAGGGGAAAAGGGGACGAGGGTGGGTTTTATTCCGACTGCTCTTATATGTGGTACTAGGTCAACCGAAGAGAATAGTACGATCGTATTCATGTTTTCACAAGTCATGCGGCACAGAATTCAAGATAAGTAGGATAGAGGTACATGTGGTACGCTTGGTGGAAGAGAGTTTCCTTAAAGTTGCTCTCGTGTCTCTTGTTGCTTTCCCAGTTTTGAAGTATATCTTTACAGAGTCGTCTCGTCCGGCAACGACACGTTGCAAAGGATTCTTTTTAGGTCTACGAGAAAAGAAACAAAAAGTCAACGTGTTTTTACATATATGTATATCTATATATATATAGCAGAAGTTTTTTTCTTTTTCTTTCTTTTTTTTTTGTTTGGGATTACAGGGTCAACACATAGTTTTATGTGCATCTGGTAACAGCTCCAAGTTCTTCGGTGTATATTCTTTTCAGGAAGTACCTTTTCTCTTTGCAGCTGTTCTTTTTACAGGCTTTTCAGGCTTTACAGCACCTCGTCTTGTGCCTTGTTACGTTTTACAGGTTACCGCGAATGAAATATATGATCTTCGAGATATTATGTGTCGATGCATTACAAAATCCTCTTATAAAATAAAAGTGCACAGAGAAACGGAAAATAGTAAAGCAAAAAAAAAAATACAAAAGAAAAGAACAAAATTGCATTGGACATATTGAGGAGTCGAACATAACAAAGTATTCCTTTACAAAGTGAAAAGAAACAAAAAAGCACAAAAGTATGAACGTCTCATTATATAGTAAATAAACTGTGGACTGATACCAGTGCCCTTTCTCCCCATTTCTTAGCTTAGGGTCGTGCCGATCAAAAGCATTTGCTTACCACTACCACTACTTCTACCACTACTTCTACCACTACTACTACTACTACCGAACATGACAAATTACCACACTGCCTGGAGAGAGGCTAGCCCAGTCCCTCGAGGCAAGTACTTATAATACCATTCTCATGCCTTCGTACATTGGGTTTATGCGACGATTTTGTAGCCCCCTTCCTCGATGTGTCCTCGGTTCTCCTGTGTTAATGGTGCGTCCTCTGATTCGATAGTTTTTACAGCGATAAAAGCATGTTGCTCGATCAACGAGTAATCCGGTAGTTTCGGTAGAGAGAGAAAGAGAGAGAGAATACGTCTCGATTAATTATTGTAACGAAAGCGAAAGCGGTTTGCTTTTTGGATTTTTCTTTTTTTTTTTGCTTTTTTCTCTCTTAACGAGGGCAACGTGCTGTTATCTACACATTTTTTGAGTTTTCAGAGTCTTGATCTATGGATACGCGTAAGTATGTTTAACGTGTACACATTACTTTTATATTAGAGTACGAGTATCTCGATGACTGAGATTGACGCTCGAGATAACGAAAGATGTAAGGAAATGACGCGAGCTGGAACGCAATGGTAATTGTTTCGTCGAAGACAAAGGCAGCGCGTGTGAGGAGTAGTTGCTGAGGAGAGTGGTTTACGCAAGCATATCTATGCATTTATATTCCACTTATCGCACTAAAAGACGATGCAACTTCCTTGTCGAGTTTTTCCGTACAGAATTTTTAGAGATCCGACTAGATTTCTTACCTACCTTTGCTATTAATCGCGTTAGTCTGCTTTGAACATGCTGCCCTAAAGTGTATTTTTTTTGCTCTTGTTTTCATAAAGACAAACCAACTAAAGTTATACATATATAACGATAGTTTTGCGAATACAGGGAGACGCGCGGGCAAACGTATTTTGCCGTCTAATCGTTTCCACATCAAATCACAAAACTACGATCGATCGGTACTGCAGTTGCATAGTCTACACTTGGTAGATTTCGAAGTTAATGTCGCGTGGGCGAAGGAATGACATTTTTACGATGATACAGGTGAAAGAGCTGCTGATGAGTTTTGGCCAGCTGAGGGCATTCAATCTAGTGAAGGATTCTGCTACTGGACTCTCCAAGGGCTATGCGTTCTGTGAATATGTGGACGTCTCTATGACCGATCAAGCTATCGCAGGCCTGAATGGGATGCAGTTAGGTGACAAGAAACTGATTGTACAACGTGCCAGTGTGGGCGCCAAGAATCCTATGATAGGTACACAAGCTCCAGTACAAATTCAAGTGCCTGGTTTGTCCATGGTCGGTTCGAGCGGACCTGCGACAGAAGTGAGTCCCATACGAATAAATTATCGTGGCTTAGTTCAAAACATATTAGAAAAATATATATGTAATATAATTTTATAATCTTGTGGAAAATCTTACAGTGATTGTCTGATGCTTTACTTTTTTTTTTTAGGTGCTTTGTTTGCTTAATATGGTTACGCCCGAAGAATTAATGGAAGAAGAAGAATACGAGGATATTCTCGAGGATATTAAAGAAGAATGTAACAAGTACGGCGTGGTGCGATCCGTGGAAATTCCGCGACCCATCGAAGGCGTCGATGTACCTGGATGCGGCAAGGTATGTTTAATACACAATTTTGCACAACTTTACATACTTTACATACTTATTTTATTTAATATTGATACTTGTGAGACATCTGATTGTAATTGACAGCCTTTACTTTGTTACAGGTATTCGTTGAATTTAATAGCGTGATCGACTGCCAAAAGGCTCAGCAGACTCTCACGGGACGAAAGTTCAACAACCGTGTAGTTGTCACGTCGTATTTCGATCCTGACAAATATCACCGTAGAGAATTCTAAGTTGTAGAGACTCATCTTTTCATACCGTTTAATATTAATTATGGATATACATATAAATATATTCTAATGTATATTAACATGTAATGTATATGGATAGCAGACATGTATTCTTCCGGAAAAAAGCTTATTGAAATTTTAAAAGTGAAACATTTTCGCGAAAAATTTTCATCCTGAAATCCGAGTAACGAGGTAGTCTCCCTAGATATAATTATTTCAAAAAAATTATTCGAGTTTTTAATTTATGTATATTTAACAATAATCTGTATAAATATATATGCATATATATAACATGCAATAAGAGAGAATTAAAACTCCAGGCCCCTCGCATTATCTATCTCTTTAATGACCTCAGAAGAAAATGCATGTTAAAGATTCTTGCAAAATACGTTAAAATAAAAATATATATTCATAAAGTAACACTTGCAATCGATGAAACAAATTTGTAAGATATTCCGTACACTCCCCTTTTGCTCTAACAATCAATAATTTGTCATAAATTAATGTGATATATAATTCATCTTTATCTATTTCTTTGCTTTCTATTCAGGTTAATTTATAATAAATTATTGATTGTTAGAGCAAAAGAGGAATGCACGAAATATCTTACAAATTTGTTTAGTCGATTGCAAGTGTTACTTTATAAATATATATTTTTATTTTAACGTATTTTATAAGAACTTTTAGCATTTTCTCGCTTGTAACATCATTAAAATACGAGAGGCCAGGAGCCTTAAAATTATCTATATCGGTTACAGAGAGATATTATGTACTTTTAGAATATATTTGGGAAAATGTATTGATTAAGGTATTGTAGCTTTTCACTACAATTACATTTATATTATATATACGCTACAATTATATTTATATATTTTATGGTATTTCCATAGATTTCGGAATTATGACTTTGAAAGTTTCACTTTGCAAGTTTCGGTAAGTTTTTTTTCGGTATAGTGCATATTTACTGTTACATATATCGTGCTTCGAAGCGGGAAATTGCTAGTATCTATATGTATTTCACAAGCTAGAAACGCTTTGTGTGTGTGTGTGTCTGTCTGTCTGTCTGTCTGTATGTTGTCCATTGCAACAAATTTTAATAAAATACCAAACGATGCATAAAATTTGCGAACAAAGCGCGTTCCTCTTCTCCCGCTTTGAAGATCACAAATAATTTGAAAATAGACACACTTGAATGTTAATATACTGTGGACAACGCAGTATATCGTACAATTTGATATTTATCTATTGTAAAATTGAAAAGATTAATTAGACAAATGCAGTTATGTGAACATTCAGGATGATTTATGCTGAAATAAAGTGAGAACACTCCATTGTGTTTCTAGAAAAGCATGTTTTTTCTCTACTTTATAATTCTATATTATATATTATTAATTTGATTATTTAGTATCATATATTAGATACGTTCGTCTTAAATGGCATATGATAATAATAGTAGATTCAATGTTCGATCTGCAACGTAGGCTGATAGGAGTGACTCTCGCCGGTGTCCGCGGCATCGATCACGAATTTCTGTAACAGCACAAAAAGTCCACCGCCCAGCAACAGCATAGCGATGCCCGACAAAAGCACTATTGCCCAGGCCGGTATGGCTGTGCCTCCTAAAAATGATATAACATACATGTTTGGAGTAATATGATTACTATCGGATGGTATTCATCATACATTCTCAACTACTTACTGTAATAATATCTCGTTATTGTTTTTCGACCTCTAAGAATTTTGCGTCTCGCTTCGACTTCTTCCAGGAATATTCCCATCATAACTATATAGTGTTTTACAGAGAATGAGAAAAAATCGTCGTAATTTGTACAAAAATTTGTATGTGACTTATTATACGCTATATAACACATCGACTGATCATATCGTTGTCTCGCTACGTAATTGCCACGTTCATCTTGCCAAATTTAATTGTGTAGCTAAATCAATGATTGTTCTTGATTGCATAAAACTGGCACACCAATGAAAGCTTTAACGAGAGACAACGACATGAGCAAAGATGGAACTATTGCTTTATCAATAATTATAAGTAGATTTCACACCACTTTTTTCTCATGTATTCAATAATTGAAGTCTTATTAATGTTTTACTACTTACGTAAACCGATAGCCAAATAACACATAAATCTTCTTGAGCACATTTTTAAAAATTCTCACGATACACCGTGGAAGATGAAACAGGCTGCTCTGTACTTAACTAAATGGCGTCTATGAAACTCGCACTGAATCACACCTACATGATAAGCAGATAACGAAGAAACGATGGCTTATCTACCTCGCTATATAGTGTGAAACATTTCCTACGTCCTAGATGATTTAAACACGAATCATCGTAATTCTCACATCAGCCATTGCGTAAATCTACAATCATTTGACATTTGATAGTTTCCAACTCTAATAAATTTGTAAATAAATACTGACGAAGTATTCAACCATATAAAAAAAAAAAAACGGGCCGTCGACGGATTTCAGACACAATAAATAGCGCAATCCATGTAGTTGTAATGATAATTGGTATAACAAATATTCTCTATCTTTAATGAAATACAATGACACAAGTGAAGATGGAAATAATCAGAGTTGTGCTACAGAAAATGAATTTTGAAATTTCTTGTATTTTCCACGTTTTCCAGATGACAATAGAGAGTTTTCCATGACCAATATGTAATCTTAAATTTTAACATTTAAAAGCAGGAATTACAGGGAAAGTAGCTTATATTATTAAAAGTAATACAAACTCGGAGAAGCTTAGTAACAAAATATAATCCTGAATGCACAAATTCAGAATTCCATTTTATATCTTCCCTTGACTTTTCCATATTTTTTCGGTTTTTTATATTATTTCCCTGATTTTTCTACGTTTTTCATGATCAATTCAAATTCCTATAACTTTTTCTAGTTTTTCAGGTTTGTGGCAACTCTGCTTTATCGACAACTATAAAGAGATTTCTCGTATATTTAAGGTTTGCATACTGTCGAATTCTACTTACGTAAACTGGTAGCCAACTAAAAAAAATAGAAACTTTCTCAAGCATATTTTGAAAAATTCTCACGATACAATGTGAAAGAAGGAGAGGTGAAAAAGACTTCTTTGTACTAAATGGCTGAATTAAACGCTTAATTATGAAATGTCTAAAAAACTCGCGTTTGACCTGTATGATAAGAAGATAAGAAGAACCAATGACTTATCTACCTCATGATGGTATGACATCTTCTACATCTTATATTATTTAAATCATCACAATTTTACATCAGCCATTGCACAAATCTGTAACACAGATTCAATAGATCCTAACTCTGATAAAGTTTACAAACACACTGACAAGCCAACTAGCACAAATGTTAACTAGACAAGTGTGTATATTCAACTAGCAGGTAAATGTAAGAACAGTACGAGGCGTCGTAAGATTACTCTGGCGCGATAATAATTAAATTTACGGACGGATTTATTCTTTTAACTTCATCAATAATTACCCACGTACCATTAACTTAATTAATCATTACCACACACATATCATTAATTTATTTAATAATTTCCACATATGCAACGTCATCTAAGAAGTTTCTGCCGTTCTCACATTCGATTATATGATTTAATAATTTTTCCTAATGATTTTGTCATCATGTCGTATAATTTTATAAATTTGCATGCTACGAACAATTGAAATAATGGGATAGAGGAAGTCATGAGGGTGCAACGTCAACACGTAGCAGAATACATCTCGATGTCCGTTGATCCTGTAATGTCTTTTTATTGATCCAAAAATCAAAGAGACCGAGTTACATCTGTAGTAAACCATTATCATGAAATCGTTGCAATTTCGGCCGAATCCGTGCGCCAGACGCAGTTGTACAATGACGCAGTTGTACAAACGCGAGTGTGTCAGAGGTCGAGCTCGAGAAACATTCCGAACTGAAGATTCGCAGACGCGAAGAAACGACGACGATTTCGCTCGTGGTAAAATGAAACAATCTCAAAATGATAATGACAATGACAATGAGCGAAAGAGCGAAAGGCGGGGAACGGGGGCGGAACGGCGGGGGTAGGGGCAGCAGGGCGTAGGAAGCAGGAAGAACAGTCTCGAACGAATGTTGGAAGGAAAAAAACAAAACGATACAAACAAAAATTAAACAAGCGTCTGCTGCATACAGGACTTCGTATCACGACTAGAATACGTATATCGCGCTTTTCTTTTTGTTCTTTTCTTTCCCGACAGCTACGTACTCTCTCGACATTAGCTGACACATCGACGACAAGATTGCGGAATAAATTAGCGAGTTTTAATCCTTTGCACGTACACTTTCTCCCTTCTCGGCTTCTTTGCGATTCTTACTCTTTTTTTCACAGGGGATGCGTGAATGTTAAACAAAGCTGCAAAAATACACGATTTCTTGCAAACACGATTGCATATCGTGATCGATATGAAATAGAGAGCTAACGTCTACACAATCGCTTTTGATGTGCGTTTTCTTTTCTCTCCAATCGACTTTTATTTAATATCGCGTATCGCTTTACTGTTAATCGCCGACCGAATCACTACACGCCTTTCTTTATCCGAATATTTTCGATAAATTTTCCCTTTTTTTAATCCCGCTAACTTCTCCAACGTATATGTAAATACGTGTAACATATAACACATACATGTGTATTAGAGACGAAATAAATAAATATAATACTGTACTCCACTTTTACGGTGCACCATAAATATTAATGCTCTAAATAATAATAACAATAATGATAATAGTAAATAATAATTATGAACGACACACTAAGTACAGAAATCAGTCCTAAACTCTTTCCCGAAAATTAACGTACACAAATGGAAGGAGAATATCGTGGAAATGCACAGAGACTCTCGGCAGAGGGAAGATTATGTTCGTGAATTTAAAATACGCTTCGCTAAGTCGCCTCTACCTCTTTTTACGAGCTATCGCTAAGAAAATCCATAACACCTGGACAACCTAGCCATCAGTAGATCTCGCCTAGATACGGATTTCTTCTTATATTTGTGTTTGTTTCTAAAACTATCTGCCCTACCTTTTGCGATTAAAGTCACTTCAATAAGTTTTTCGCTTGAGAATATCGTAGTACGTTATGGATGGCATAATAACTTCAAGATACACATTCGACGGGAATGGTCATCATCGATCCATTATTTCGCCTCGACGACGTCATTACTCAAAGTTGCGGCCGTGAAAACGCGCTGAAAATTATCGACTATTTATTGTTTAACCGATGTATATCTCTTTAAAATCCTATTGCAAAGAATGTTTCCTCATTAAATCGACGTATTGCTACTGGTCTCTATCTTTCGCCGAGTTTCTTCCTTTCTTTACTCCCTTATTCTCTCTTTCTTTTCTTTCTTTTTTACAGGATGACGATCCCTCTTTTATACCTCCACGTTAAGTCTCATATACAGATTCTCTCTTTTCTCTTTCTCTTTTTTGCTCGTTAAATCGAAATTCAAACTAGCTTCTTATTTGTCATAGAGGCAATGTAATACCTTCATTTAGAAGTGCGCAACTAAATGCAAGGGGTATTACATAAATTTGTTCTTTTTCTCTCTTTCTTCTTCCTTTTTGGCGCTTAACGTCGATTTGACGCTTCACAGTCGGGTCTTTAACGGCTCGTCGTTCTCGACGGTATACGAAAAGTCGTGTGCGAATTGTAAGATTTGCAAAGTCGTTCGTTAATACGTGCCACTATGATCGCGCTTAACGTGTGTCCGCTATGTGTGGTTACTCTTAGAACAACAAGTGTAATCTCTAGCTGTGGAGAGCAACGACTGCCGGCATCTGTTCGGGAATCTTAGTTTCGCGTTGTGATTTGTTAAATGATATTATTATCGATAGATATATTATATATCGCGGGTGTACGTGTCAGCATTTGTCATCAGCATGTATATGTGTGTGTGTACGTGTATGATTGGAAAATTCCGCCCGAGATGAATTTATTGGAATATATTACCGAGTAGTCGTATAATTTATACGGGCTAAGCGTTTTGACTTAAGCTTACTTTTACCTTGTGGCTAGCTGGTGTTTTGGCTCGAAGTACTTGTTTTCGTTTCGCTCAGCGCGGCCGCGGAGCTATTCGTTGACGAGGATGACATCGTCGTTTCCTTATTAACGGATCGACTACTGCCGCTCGAGATCGGCTGCTTATTACTTTCCTGCGTATTGCTGCTGTTCCTGTCACAGACTGCCGCTTTATCGGCGACCTTGGACGTTTCTTGGCACTGTATGGCGGTATTGTTCGTTAACTGCTCGACGTTTTCACTTTCTTGCCACCCACGTGGCTTTTGTATTATATCCTCTTTAATGAGCACCTCCCTGAATGTTGCTAGAGTTTTGCGGAGAGTTATGCAGAAGCCCCTGGATGCCGGGATGAGCGGGAATTCTGGTAACATCTTCTCGTCTGTAAGATGGGAAAGAAAAGATTAATCGAGCCGTTCTTGTGACGTAATAATAATCCTTGCGTAACGAAACTAAAAAAGACCCGCCATACCAATGTTGGCGATCTCTTTAAATGTGGTGGGAGTAACCGGAGACAACGGATGCTGTTTGTTGTGCTGCTCGGATATTTCCATCCAATGTACCAGTCTCAGCAACAGCTTCTCAGAATGTTTCTTGAAGTGTATGATAATGATGTCCTTAAACACTGGCGGCGGGTGCAGCAGTAACTTGGTCTGTGCCTGCACCAGTTTCAGCACAACCATCTCGTTGTACATCCTCGAGTTCTCTCGCCCTTGCTGCGAGCCTTTTTGCTTCTCAAAACCTGCTTCGTTGAAATATGGCTCGCTCACGAGGATCAGACCCTGGATCGAGACGATCACCTGCAGCAGAGTGGACGAGGTCGTCCACATCTCCGTGCCACGTCCGGACCAGGTACCTAATAGACTCACGCACACCTTCCCGTCTTCATAAAGGTTCGGATTTAAGCGGTCGCTGCAGTACGAGATGTAGTGACAAAGAGGCGGCGCAGCCGGATAATCGGCTGACAACTGAAAGTCGAAAAGAAACAGTCCGTCCTCGTAGGGTGTTTTTTCGGGACCACGGAGCATGACGGAGTACAAATCAATACGATCCTCGAATCCCTTCACCCACACGCCCGGCGGCAACGAGCTCTTCAGTAGCTTTAGCTCCTTCGAGACCGTCCGGAAGAAGTTGGTTGGATCGGTGGGCTGGAACATAGTCAGTTTAAACTTGTGGCTGTCGGGCGCGGCTTCGTCTATGGAAAAACCTTCTCCTTCTATGTAAACCGGCGGTGGGATTTCGATGGAGCACTCGGACGGCTCGGCTACCATCTCGTTTGCACTTCGTTCTTCCTCCTGCTCTCCCTTCTGCTTCTTCCGCGGAGAACCAGAGCTCTTCTCCGCGTCTGATAATGACATCTTAGCTAGACCAAATCGCTTGGACACTTCACCGTGAGCCAACACAAGCTGTGCCTTGATGAGGTTGCACAACTTCACGCATACGTGCGACGCACCGACCGACTGAGAATACCCCAGATTCGTCGGCGGAGTTTTCTTCGACCGGGTCATCGTGTCCGCTTTCTCGGACGACACTGCGTCCGTTGCAGACGAACATTCCGGCACGTTGTTGACGTCCTCGCTCATGAGAAACTCACCGCTGGACTCGCTCGAGCCTGATTCCTTCTTCGAGTCCTCCGCAGAGTACAAGCCGGAGTCTTCGGGATTAGGATTGGCGTGTATGAACAATCGGTTGGCCGATTCTTCGCTGCTCTGCTTTTTCGCGATGTTGTCGACATTGGTAACGTTTTCGCTCTCCGACGTGTCCATAATCGTGGTGTCCTTTTCTGACTCGTTAGTTGAGCACTGATCATCGGCATTGCCTAAAATTTTCAAACTGTCTTTGTCCATAAACTCCTCCGGACACTCAGACTTGGGTGTGAAGAGTCGCGTCACTTGATCCGCCATACGCTGCGCGACATTTGCTCTGCCGCGTTCCCTCACTCGCTCGAGGAGTCCTTGGAAGTGACACTCGTGAAAGAACGAGGTTCCCATGAGTTTGTCCATGTAACGACAATCCTTGTAAACCTCGAGTAACTTCCTCATGACCTCGGTCGTCTGTAGCAACGGATTCTGCGTAAAGATTTCCTCTAATCTTGACATAGCGATTCGTGCTTTCTCGATGTGTGCCGCTAATTTTGGTTTTATGTTCTCTAATTCCGTTTGCTCAGTGCCGTCGTTATCGGCGATGAAACAGTCTTCCAATTCCGTCTCCCACGATGAATCAGAAGACACGTCGTCCCACAGCTCTCCCTCATCGCTGTCGTACTCGCTCACTTTGTATAAATCCTGCGGCCAACACATACTAATATGACCATCGACCCACCATACTTTCACTCGACCCTCTGGATAATTGTCCAGCACTTGACCAGCAGTACATCCGGCATCCTCGCCTTCGAAATTCGCTATTCGAATTACAAGAGTGCCGGGTCTATACTGGAAATCCGGATGATCCTTCAAATCGTAGACACTCACTTCGCGTTCCTCCAGGAAAGTCGGCCTGTAAGAAGTAGTTGGCGCAAATTTTATATATATATATATATATATATATATATATATATATATATATATATATATATTTGGTTCAATTTATTTATAACAATTTTATAACAAGTTATTCCTATATTATTTTTCTGAAAAGAATATTATATTTTCCCATTTATTTAATAATAGTAATAATTAGTTTCAAGAGATCGAAGTAAGAAACAAAATATAGATGATATATGAGAAAGAAGAAGAATTTGAGAAAATTATTTTTATGTACTTACTCTGGGTTTTGACTAGAAGTATAAGTTTTGAACCATTTAATCTTAGCTGTACGACCCTGATGATCGACACTTTGTACAACGCCGTACATTCTGGATTCCTCCTTTTGATCTACGACGAAATCACCTGGGAAAAATTCCTTATCATCCAGATGATGGATTGGATATAATTGTGTTGATGGTATACCTTAAAAAAAAAAAATGTCATTATACATATAAATATTTAATAATTTAAATGCTTCTTTCTCTCTCTCTTTCTTTCTTTATATTTATCGATGATATCACAAGTAAATCACGAATAATTCATTATTAAAATGGAAGTGAAATTGAACAAAACTTGTAATAAAATCAATGAATACGCATGCATGATAATTATTAATGTCAATACCAAATTCTACTGAGCCGTCTTGCCACACCACGTTAGCTTTCGTATTAGTGGACAATGTCTCTACGACTATCTTAGTCCCGGGAATTAACGGTACAGGCGATACTTTCTTTTTCGCTTTTCGCAACTTCTTTTTCTTAAGCACTTTTGTCATCAATGCAGGACCCTTCTTTTTCTTTCCCATTGATGACATGCTGGAACAGCCACTAGAGACCTATGGAATACACGAGTCATCATTACCGTCCTTACTTTCTTCCACTATCTGGAGAGAGAGAAAAGGAAAGAAGTGATTACCGAAGCGGTATCACTTTGAGAGCCGGTGGTGTCCTCGGTATCCCATTCGTCGGAGCTCTCGGCACGTTGGGCTTGAGGCGGCGGTAACAGGGTGTTGTTGCTCGTGGCGTCTTGCGTATTAATACTGATAGTTTGAGCATTCTCGTTCGTCGACCGTTGTTGCAACTCGGGCATTTTGTTTTTCTTCGGCTCTTTCTTGTCATCCGGCAGCTTCGTCACCGTGATAATCGGCCGCATTTTCCTCGGACTCTGCTTAGGAACTTGGAAGATATCTCTCTGCTGCTTTCGCCACTGTTCCCGAGTAATGACATTCTCGTTGCCTTTCAGAACGTAGAAGTTACGGTCCCCGACCTGCACTGTGGACGGCTCGAACACGTTCAATAGTTTCAGCTTCTTCAAGTCGTCGCCCTCGACCACAAATTTTGGTTGAGCTTGGTCGGACCAGGCGCCGTCTTTCGAGTACGCTCTGCATTGCCAATGCACACCCACCCAGTCGGTCTCCACTTTCTCCACAATCAGTTTGGTGATTTTCTGTGGCTTCAATTTCCTCTTTGCCTTCATCTCCTTTGTGCATTGGATCCATTGCGCCTCTTCCAGACAGTGAACTGGTCCCCACAAACTCTGTCCAGGATAGAATTCAGTGGAGTGTGGGAAATCGTTGTCCTGAAAGATAGACATTTGTCGGTTATATCGCAAAATTCTAAAGTAGTTTGCTTTTCTTACATAAGATAAAGGTACCAATATCTGGACACGTTCTTAAGACATGTTGCTAGGTATTGTTATTATCTTGGTCTTTAAATATATTTTAATATACTTTATGTGAATATATTTTAATGTACAACATAAAATTTATATATTATATATATGTGTGTGTGTGTGTGTGTGTGTGTGTATGTGTGTATATATATATATATATTCTCTATTAAAAATTTAATTATTCTTAAAACCAAAAAAAAAAAACATCTAGGATTAGATCCGTGATCAGAAATTAGTACTTTTACCTTAAATGATTGACTGTTCAATCTTACATTATCTCGTGTCTCTTCCAGTTGTCCTAATACATAGGAATTCATCTCGTTCACAACACAGTGAGAACCATCTGGAGTTACCAACCATAATTTGCAGTGTGTCATTCTAATGCCACCGACCCAAGAGTCCATACAAACTGCCATATCTGTTGCAAATTCCTACAAATGACAACTGCCTGTTTCAGTGTGCAACTGACACAACCATATGGACAAAATATTCACATACTTGCAGAGGAATCAGATCTTCACTTTTGATGTCTGTGAGAACCTGCTTAGTACCAATGACCTGTACACAAGCAGTTAGCTCAATATCCCTGCAATAACCCCTCTGTGTGTCTTTTCCCTTGATCATTCTGCGTACCACATCTCCAGGCATGAGCGTTCTGTCTGCCAGGTGAATCTAAAAGCAGGAAAGCATTGGCGGAGTGTAACCAGGGATCTTAATTCGAAATTTTAACGTATTTTGGGATCGCATGCGTGACGTGGAGTACGAAAGATGTCGCCTTTCGTGCTGTCAAGTTAAACAGCACGAAAACAGAGTGTGACGTTATGGACGTACATTACGAACGGACGTCGCTGAGGATCGATCTTACTGCAGTGGAAACGGAGAACGATCGCGAAGTAATACGTGTTCGTATACCTTTTTGTAATTGACTAACTCCTCGATACCGGACGGGTGCCAGATCATACGGATCTCGCCCTTCTTGCGCTTCGGCATGCTCTCTTCGCTGTCAGTGCTTTCCTCGGACATGTCATGGTCGTCGTTCTCCATGACGATGCCGAAAACGACATTGCCTCGCTTGTCCACACGATACACGACATCCTCGTAAAAGTACTGATTCTCCGGCGCAATGTTCGCCGCGGCAGCCATCTTTCCTCTGATCGTTGTCCTAGCCTCGCTCACCCGCTCAGGGGCCAAGCCCGCCTGCCCCGCCACCCTGGTCAAGGAGTCCGCGAGAGACAGAGAGGGAGAATCGAATTGCGCCGAGCACTACCGAGCCGAGACGACGACGACAACGACGGCGACCGCGACGACGGCGACGGCGACCGCGACGGCGACGACGATGACAGGAAGTTACACCCCGCGTAACGCACGCACATCACACTCGACGAATACGAGGTTCGTGCGTTTCGATGCACTTCTTTGCATCTTTGATATGAGAAATATATCTGCACTTTTAACTTTTGCGATAACCTCTATGTGAATATGCATATAAATCGAAAATAATGATAGAAAAATTATCTACAAGTTGCTAAGTAATTTTTTTACAATGACACAGTGGATATTACAAAAATTTGGAATATATATATAAATTGCTATTCAAATCTTTGGCAAAAGTACAACACAGTAAAATTTATATATTTGTTATGTCACTGATGAGCCATCGCGGTAGTGATGGCAACTATCGCCATCTATCAAGATATATATGTGCTACAATAGGATTTCTGCTCTTATCATCTAGGTTTGGACTCCCCGGGTAATTCCTTTAACGTAGTACAGAACTGCAACTTCAGGGAGAATTCACATCTTGGCAAAAAATAGAAAGACAGAAGCCAATTAGAACTCGCATCAATAGAAAGTGTCAAACTATCGTTTATCAGTGCGAGTTTTTATTGGCTTCTGCCTTTCTTTTTACTAAGATGAAAATTCTCCCTAACTTAACCCCACGACGCATCTACTTGATCGTATCTTGACATTTATCCCAATATAGCTTCAACTTCAATTTTGGCTTCAGGCTTTCCTTGGAATTCCGTCAACGCTAATATATTATCTCAATATCGCGTTGTAGTCAGACGTTGAGATATCGATCTGGTTTCAGATATAATTTGAACGCTTTATTCAAATAAAGACTCATCGGCGAGTCTCGAAAGAATCAAATTGTGAGTTAATGAATATTCTGTGAACCATAATTTTTATGGTTTTATTGGGGGAAAATTTTATGATCACAGATACGGGAACTATATTATTAATAAGCAGCACACGGAGGAGATACAAAAGTAGGAACATCTATCCCTTCCGTATGCATCTCTAAATCTATATTCGCGTCATGCATTGTTTATACTGCAAAGTGCGTGCGCTGAAATCCTTGTCCCAGACTTTGCAGTATCTGTTGGACCTCGCTCTCGTTTCGATGGTGAAAGATGTAGGCGTCGAATTTTGTTGCCACGTTACAATTCGTTTCCCTAAAAAGAATGAAATGTTGTCGATCATGCGAGTTCGATTTAATACAATCTATTCTAAAAAAGAATTCATATTTTGACAGAAAAGCAAAAAGGCAGAAACCAATCAAAACTCGTACACTCAGTTGCGTTGATGCTATACCATTCCCCAGATCAATAGTCACTAAAAAGTTTTGACCAGCTGTTTCTAGCTGATCGTTTTTCATGACTGTTGATTCACCTGGCAAGCGGGAATGTGTCAAAATAGAAGTGACATTTTGACAGCTTGACGTTTCATATATACGTGTTTTTACCAGAAGGTTATCCGCTCACGTATAACGCGCAATCAGTAGAAGAAGAGTAAGAATGTTAAAAAAGATAAGTAAGAAGTTAATATACAAAATTATAATAAATTTATACACATACAGACACAAAGTCTCTGCTTTTAATATTTTCACGCGATTTGTTTTCAAATTATTCGTTATTAATAAACATTCTACTTTATTCGAATAAAGTAAAAACTTCTTACTTATCTTTTTTAATCTTTAGGGAATGGTATAGCATCAATGTAACTAAGGCTGAAGTCCCATGGCATGTATTTTCCGCGTATCGCGCAAACGCGTAACCAATAAATTGTTTAATATTTCTGTTGGAACTTCTAAAAGAATAGAAAGATGTGATTGGTTACGCATTACGCGAAAATATGTGCCATGGGACTCCATCCTAAGTGTACTGATGGTTAGGTGGTAGTCGATAGTTTTTATTTTACCAAAAAATCACGTTTTCAGCGCAACTGACGATTGGTTTCTGTTTTCTTGTTTTTCTGCTAAGATGTGAATATTTCCTAATATTAATCTGATAGATCTCACCCTGCGATGAACGCGAAGTAATCTGGAATATTGGTGGTGCGTCCACATGACGAGATTTCCATGTAGCTTTGCTTGCATATTACCTGAAAACAAAAATGTTTCATCAGACTCGATATGCACATTTTAGCTATACAATTACTTTCAAGTAAGCTTATGACTGTACCTTATCGTCTGCCTCGCGTGCTACTTTAATCCCGATTTCTAGACACTCGAATCTCACAGGCACTTGTTTCGCTTCTCCGGACTTCAATAGGCTCCAAATGGCTTTCTCGATTTGCTTGACGTCGCCCTCTGCACCGATATACACGGTGCCACAGTACTTCACGCAGAATCCGCTACCTAGTGTCTTATTCTCTAATGTAGACGGCTGATTTACTGTGGTGGCTTCCACCTGGTCCGGTTGCGATATTTGTATTAAAGACTTCATGCTCTCGACGCCCGAACTTTTGATAAGATGAACTATCGGCTCGTAGAGTTCACGGGTCTTTTTGGTACGACACTAGAAACATATGGCAATGCATTAAATATATCATTCACATACATATACATACATCCTTTATATTATTAAAAAAATATATCAACATGTATCTCTTTTTTAAAGGAGAGAACAAGATAAATAAGAGCAAAATAAACTGCTCTTATTTGCCTTGTTTTTTCCTTTATGTTATTGTAACTGGAACTTTTGAGAGCTATAGATTTGATCTACAATGTGCTTTTTGGTTTCTATTACTTGTTCTCTATCTTTTTCTGACTTAAGACTTAAAGTTTAGCTTCCTGTTTCTTTTTCTTTATCTTTTTCTGACTCACACCTTAAGTCTTAAACTAAAAAAAAGACAGAGAACAAGAAACAGGAAGCACATAATACATTGTAGATTAGGCTTGAGTCAGAAAGAGAAAAAAAAGCAAAGAGCACATTGCAGATCAGACTTTAAAGTCTTTTATTATATCTTTTTTTATTGTCCATCTATCTTGTTATATAAAAATATATACCTTGATGATATGTAACATTATCGGTTGCCCACTAGCCTTCCTCATAATCTTACGTAGCTTGCCTTTACTGTCGCCAGTGATGATACTTTCGTTTATCTCGTCCAGTACATCTCCTATCTCGACTTTATTCTGTTTTATATGTGGCATGTAAAAAATTACCAAGTTGTGTGAAATCGCCTTTTTATGAATTCTGCTACGTTACACTAGGTACTTTGGACTTTTCTTACGTCTTCGGCGGCTACCGACTTCTCGTCGACGTTGATGATCAACGCTTTCTCGTTGGTGAAACTGTAAAGCAGTGGTGAGTTAGATTTATTAAATAGATCCCTTCATTCTCTTTCGTCGAGATCAATACTCACCATACAGAGATGCCCAAGTTCTTGCAAGGTACCAGTTGCAGAGCTACGCATTTTGGCATCTGCCATGTATCGTCCAAGAACGTCGCGTTTCGCAAGTTCAATTTGAAATTCAATTTGCTGCATTGCAGCAGAACAGACAGCAGTATCTCCCGTAGAATGTCATCTCCCAGGATACTCTTCAAGTCGTAAAACTCGGTAGCTAAAGTTGGAATCCGGGTCTGAGAACACAATTACAGGTTTTTGTAATTAGCATTGTACTGAAAAGTTTCATGAATTCTGATAGAGACATATTGAATGCATTTTGCTGTAACAGAGGTCTTACCAATATTTCTACTGGCATGTGAAGACATTTTCGCACTAAACATATCCTTATTAGAAGACGAAGTCGTCCAGTAAATGTGTGCACTTTTGGATTCTGCTTTGTTTGCTCCACTACTAAAGATAACGTGTTGTAGGAACTGCAAATCACATCGACATTAAATATATAAAATTGAATCATAAATTTCTGATATTCAATGAAAATGGACAGATGTTTCACCTGTAATTCTTCTCAGCAACATGCTCTAACCAATGCCATGCACTAGATTCCTTCAGGTATCCAATGCTACTGAGACAAGGCAGTAAACCTTTTTGCAAGCAGTTCTCCAAGCATTTGCAAAAGTGACACAAGTCCTCGTTTTCATCAGTGATCTCCTTAGCATGTTCTATCAGCTTTCGAGTCCATCCTAAAATGTATACAATATATATGAGTTCATTTACATATACTTTGCAATTATATTTGTTGTAAGAATAAAGTTAAGAAGACAAATAGCATCTCATTATTCTAATTTAAAGGATGCTCTCTATTTTCTTAAATTGATAAAGATAAAGATTGATTTAACATTAACACGATAATGATCTTCTAAAGTTTATCAATACAAAATATTAAGCAATGGAATACATAGTTTAATATTAATTTCAATATTTATGCATTCATTCCAACATTATTACTAATTGCAAAGTGAATTTCATCTGATAATACAATTTAATTAAATTGCGACATTAGACTTGTGTAGATTTCTCTTTAACGATTACAAAAATCGACATACTATAAATTGATATTTTATACAACAGTAAATTTTAAGGGTCATGCGTGTAGTACAATAAATATAATTGCACGAAAGAGAAGAGAGAAAGAATCATAAATTCTCGCGTACGTTTAACGCGACTAACCTGCTCAATTGGGAGATTACCTTTCAGCTCTTTGATGAGAGGATCCGAGACCGACATGGCATATTCTCCGAGGTAGTTTGCCGTTAAATCGCCCGCAGCGCGTCCATAATATATCCTCGTCGGAATTGAGTTTATCGCCGTAACCTGACTTACGCGTCTTGTCAGCCGAGTCTTGTCAACGGAAACACCTGCATCGTGCTAGTAACGACGGTGGCGGTGGAAACGGTGGTCGGCGGCAGTGGTGGTGGTGGTGGTGGTCGGAATCGCGCTCACTCTGCGAATCGAACGTCGCCTGGCGAGCCAGCAGATAGTAGGTATATCTTATCATGTATGCATGTGGTAGTAGATAAAAGAACCGTGACTTAATTGCAATGAAATTACCAACGCGATGAACGATTATACGAAAAAAATCGCAGTAATCTTTTAATTATGATTGAGAAAGTTATTTGTGACTTTATATAACATTTCTTAAAGAGTTTGAGGACATTTAAACACATTTGGCATCTTTATATTTTTATGTCAGGAACTTATATGCTCAGAATTCGAGTTCTTTTATTGTAAAAATTTACTTTATGTTTTTTTTAACGTTCTTAGCTATTCATTATCTTGATTTATGATGTTAGAAGAGCGAGGAAATGTATGCCTAAAATTCCTACAAAGTATTTCGAAATAAAAAGATATATTCAAAAAATGACACGATTAAGCACATTTCTAAAATACTGCAAACACTTTTCTTTTGCTCTAACAATCAATAAATAACTGTAAAATTAACGTGGTGAAATAATGAGGAATGTAGATTAAAAAGAAAGTTGCTTATCACATTAATTTTACAGTTACTTATTGATCGTTGGAGCAGAAAGAAGGAGGTGGAGGTGTTCGGAGTATCTTTCAGAAGTGTGTTTAAGCGATTGCAAGTATCACTTCTTGAATATATCTTTTTATTTCGACGTGTTTTGCAAGAATTTTCAGTATGCATTTCCTCGCTTCTGACGTCACCAGTCAAGAGTTAGCAGCGAGTAGACAGAAGCCTTAATTAATGCAAAGTAAACTTTAATTAATTCAAAGTAAAATACGTGCAACCTGTCATCGGAGATAGTACAGATTGTTACTCCAGGCGAGAAATAACTACATAATTGTTCAGTAAATCGCGAATATACTTAACTAATACGACTTATATCGCGACTATGCTCGCATTCTGATAATGAACATTTATCCTGACATTCGCGCGAGTAATTTTGTTTGAGAGTGTCGCATCAACAGTTATTGAAGTGCGTATTTCTTGTCGTAATCGCGCGGCGACGATAATAGCAAATATAAAAAAGCGCCTTGAACAAAAATAATAACAGTCATCTCTTGGATTCTTCTCCAATATAACTGCTCAGATAGCACAGAACATGCTGAGACGATTTTGCATGAATGTGCATAGAATATTTTAGGATATTCCCCAAAATACACTCGAGATGATTTTAAAACGTTCAGTGCTATTTTAGCGTTTGTTATCGTCTCATTTTGGATAGAAGAAAAAATCACGATAACGTCAAAATGATGTCAAGATGACGAGAAAATAACTCAAATATTCATTTTTTATTCACTCATTTGATTGTTTCTTCCTCATTTTGACGTTATCGTAATTTCCTGTTCTTCTTGGAACACAATACGTTAATAACACGCGCAATTGAATTTGCAGAGAAGGCGAAAGAGCTCTAAGGCGGATCACCGAGTTCAGTTCTCGCGCTGATAACGTCCTTGTTGACGACTTGCGTAAGGAGATTTACACTGGCATCAGTATCTTCGCGGTCGTTGAGCGCGGCGCTTATCAACCTCGCCGCGTAATCATCATTTCCGTTGTAGATCGCCCACGTGCGTGCTTAGAAACTCGAGTGCTCATGGCCGCACCAGTCTCAAATATAAACAATGTCAAGGCGAGAACGCTGCGGACCTTCACCGAGAAATTCGGCGAGTCGGCCGCCGTCTGCGTCTACGCGCCAGGACGCGTCAATCTCATTGGCGAGCATACGGATTACAACGAGGGCTTCGTGCTGCCGATGGTAATGTCAAGGGTGTCTTCCGTGCTTCTAGCAAGCTCTTTCAACAATTCTGTTTTTGTTCAAAAGAGATGACGTACAATTCGCGAAAGAAGAACTTGGGACGGAATTCTATCTGCGATTTTATGTCCGGTATTATACGAGAGACATTAAGAAATTTATATATAGATGCATACGCAGACATCCGCAAACGTAATTGTGATTCTTTCGAATTCTTCTTCACAAACAGAATTCTGTTTCGAAGTCTGACGCGCATTATGAATCATCTGAGGCGTGAATTACTCGCGCAGATTGTTATTAATCGTGCGTAAATTATGTACTTCAACTTTATTGCGCGCATAAATTATTAGAAAGTAGAAGCGTTCTATGTCTGGTGCACGCATTGAAGACCATTTATCGCTCGAGTTCGGATAGACGATCGGGGTGTCACAGCCGTGTGACGTCCCTGCATGTCTCTTACACGTTGAACCACCGCTTATATAATCGAAGAATGCAAGTAAGATTCGTCTGACGAACATTCGTCTAGCGCGCCAACTTTGATGTTGGTCGAACGCCACTTATGAGATAGCATATTGATTGCGATATTCTTAAACGATTTTTATTAAGCGATTAATTTTTTTAAACGCTTACTAATTGTAATGATAGAAATTGTATTGTTGCGTTGAAAATTGTCATTTATTTGCGCTTGTGTATTCCGTGTGCGGTAGTAATCTTCACTCACAATTTTTAAGATTATTTATGATACGAGAGCTTTGTCGTGATGTTAATAACTTATCACTCATAGACAATAATAACTCATCAGTGATTAATATATTGAATTTCGAATTATTGTCAGGCATTACCAATGGTCACAGTGATCGCTGGAAAGTCGCACGGAGGACAAAAAACCAAAATAGTTTCCCTGAGCGACGCGGTCGGCGAAATCAATGAGTTTGAATTCGAAATGAGTAGTCGCGCCGACATAAAACCGGGAGTACCAAAGTGGGCGAACTATGTCAAAGGATGCATCGCCAATTTTATCTGTAAAAGTCATTCACGCTTCCAGAATCACATAAATAATAGAGAGTTTCAACTTTCCGTGCGATTATTTCAAAGCACATTTTGCGAATTGAGAAGAGATGTATTTCAGGCGATGTTCCTGCATTCAACGCCGTAATAGCGTCGAGTGTACCGGTGGGTGCCGGTCTCAGCAGCTCAGCGGCTTTGGAAGTAGCGACTTACACGTTTCTAGAGGCGTTGAGCGGCAAGAAATCAGAGAAACCGGAAGAGAAGGTAATCAAGACTTTTTGCTCGGGGAAGACAATTACACAGCTCACATACGTTTAGATACGACGCGAGGAAAAATAAATCCGTAGGTTTTGGCGTGCCAAAAGGCGGAACACGATTTCGCCGGAGTGCCGTGCGGTATAATGGATCAGTTTATTTCGGTCATGGGTAAGGAGGGCTGCGCCCTTCTATTAGATTGCCGAGATCTCGCGATCAAACAGATACCTATGCAGCACATGGACGACTATATTTTCCTTATAACTAACTCGAACGCGCCGCACAAGCTGAGCTCGAGCGCCTACTGCGAACGTCGAGACTGTTGCTACGAAGCCGCGCGGATGTTAGGCAAAAAGAGCTTGAGGGATGCGGATATGAGCGATATCCGAGGTAATAGTCGCTCTTTAAATTCTATAAAATAAGAAATACATGTATCTGGATGTTCAGTCAAAAAAGGATTCGGTGGCGCGCGAGAAAAATTGATTGAACATTTTCGATAAGAATCTACTTTTGCAGCATTAATATCGCAGAAGGTGTCCGATCGCGTTGTGAGGAGAGCTCGTCACGTAGTCACGGAGATTCAACGGACCCTGAACGCCGCGGAAGCACTCGAGCAAGGCGACTTCGAGCGATTCGGCCAGCTGATGAACGAAAGCCACGACTCGCTGCGCGACGATTACGAAGTCTCGTCCACGGAGCTCGATTCGCTGGTGTCAGCAGCCAGAGAAGTGAATGGCGTTTTAGGTAGCCGTTTGACGGGCGCGGGCTTTGGCGGCTGCACCGTTACTTTGTTGAAGAAAAACGCGGTCGACAAGGCAATTCAACATATGAGGACGAAGTTAGTATAGTTTTTCGTGGTCTATGTCATGTTAAGCACTCGGTTAAATTTACTCTATACAGATACTGTTAATTACTTTTCTTCGTAGGTACACCGGCACACCTACGTTCTACATAGCGACGCCGACCGGAGGTGCTCGGGAAATCAACGTAAATTAGTGTTGCTGTTAACGCCTTAAACATACATGCACGCAGATCGACGTAATTGCCTTAATACTCGTATCAATATTCCGTTCTGATCATATATTATGCTAAAGCCTGATTAACCGATTTTTTGTTTTAATCTATTTTCAATTGCATGCG